GGAGGGGGACTTTTTGAGATCCTGCGAGCGAAGCTAATTGATTTTTCCAGTCCCGGTATCCCCCGCTGCCTACGCTCGAGAGGGCGCCACCACAGCAACCGCCTTGGGAAGAGCGCGGGTGGCTCAACTCCATGGCTCAGTTCTGGTGGAACGAGGAGCAGTTCCGCCGAACTGAGCCACCGAGTGACAGGTGCTATAGCTGTGTGAGGCAGAAGCAGGCCTGCGACCTCAGCCTGACAAGTTTTCCATGCACTAGATGTTGGAAGGGAAAGAATCCTGGGGGCTGCCGGAACGGTTTACCTTCTGACGGTTGGCACAAGAAGACCTATGATAGGCAACAGAAGGAAAAGGGCCGGGGTGGGGTGAGTTTACCCTATGTTTACTGCACAGGCGCTAGTGGCTCGCTTAGCGGCAGCGTGTCAACACTCCCAATCCACTCCCAATCCACTGACATTTCACTGCCAATTCACTGCCTATTTTCGACAAGCCGAAGTTATTAAGCAGCTAAGCTAACACAATTACAGGAACAACACCCCAATCCAGACAACATGGCTCCTCTCCCCCCCAATCCGCCTCCTCAGATGGGGCCTGGCTCTGGCGACTTCCCTCACCAACACGGCCATGGTGCTTCTTCTCAAGCCCAATACCGATCGAAAGGGAGAATAGCTCAGAGAAGAAGCAACTGGCAGCCAGTTGATGAGGGGACGCAAGAGAGACCTGTCGATCTGACAGGTCCTCCGTCACGACCAGGCCCCCGTGCTCTTCCCCTCCATCAGCCTCTCGCAATGGGCAACCGACTTCCTGAGCCTCTCAGGCCTGATATGGGGAGAATAAATCCAGTTATAGATTTAACTGATTCTCCACCACGACCAGGCCCCCGTGCTCTTCCCCGCCAGCAGCCGCTCGGAATGGGCCCGGAGCCTCTCAGACCTGGCATAGGCAAGTAAAAATCCATTTACTCAAGGTCCTCACGCCCACAATGCTGATTTTTCTGCTTAAGTGCCTCCCCACGTCGTATTCTCCAAGACCATACACCCCCTCGACTTCATCTCCAACCAGTTGGCTCGCGCTCATTTCAGCTCTGTGAGCTCCGCAAACCCAGGCCAGTCGTTCGTCCTGCCATCTCACGCTTCTTCTTCTTCTTCTTCTTCTTCCTCAACCTTCCGCGACCAGACTCAAGCCCCTCAAGGCGCTTCTCCGCAGCCGGCTTCCCCCATCCCGAGCCCGCAGGCACAGCCCGAAGTCCAGCACCCTACACCCACAATCTACTACTCCACCCAACCCGTCAGAGCCCTCAAGGCCGCCTACGAAGACGCACACGATGTCCTCAGCATGGAGTATAAGCGGATCAGATTCGCATCGCTAGACTTCCCCCCCGTCCGACGCACCCTCCTCTTCCTCCACTGCATGGAGGCCCGCATCGACGGCATGCGCAAGATGAAGAAGGACATGCGCAAGCTCGAAAAGGCCTTTCCTGAAGCCTCCTCTTCCTCTTTCCCACCCGGGCCCTTCCCGGCCGGCACGCTGCCCTTGAACCTCCCCATCGGCGACTGGTTCTACAGCAGCGACACCGACGCCGTGAAGGCACGACTCCAGTCGGAGTTCGCCATCATGGAGGGCCGAGACGGAGTCATCGACGCGCTGATCGAGGCGAGTGTGCAGAGCGGAGACGAGGCCGGCACTCAGGCTTTGCGGGTCGAGCAGGCGGGTGTCGATGCGAGACTCGAGATCTTGGCTCGTTTGATACAGGCGACGCGTGGGATCGCCAGGTGGGATGAGGATGCTCCTAATCGCGCGAGGAGAAACCTGTTCTATGGTGGCAGGCGCCATCGGGATGTGTGATCCGTCGTTGTTGTGGTCTTCTCGGATCTGGCTGCTGGCATGTCGAAGGTGGTGGGATGGAAGTCAGGGCGGAGAAATCAGAGCTATCAGTATTTCTTTGCATGGCGTTTTTCGATGGCATTTCTGGCCTTTTTTTTCTTTTTTTTTCTTTTTTTTTTTTTTCTTCTTTTGACTTTTTTTCTCTTTCTATGGAGGCCACGCTGGTTCTGAGGAACATCAATTGAGAATGGAGGCGTGCATAGTCTTATTTCTCGTATCATAATTTTGAAAAGATATTAAAGTTAAATAAGAAGCGAACGAACGCCCGTGTCAATCATTCTGATGTGAGGGTAGATCCAGTCTTTCTTCTTTCTGTTACAGCCAAAGTCTTGCATCAGTTTCTGGCTCAGGGGCCAGCTTCTACAGCACGACTTGAGGATATCAGTTACAGTGAGACCGAGGGGTCTTCAGAGCTGCTTGTCGCTGTGTCTAGGATTTGCTGCCCCTGGATATCTATCGAACTGGTTGCAAATTCAAGCAGGAATGTGTATCATTTGGCTAAGTGGCTGAGAACCCGGTTGAAAAACCAGCGCAGCAAGTCAGACATATGAAGAAGGGTCATGCCCTCGAAGAAGAACATCTGAAAAGCAGCGAAGTATACATCAAGTCAAAATTACATCCGTACAGATGGTATATTACACGGGAATAGCTTATACAGTCGCCCACATTGCAACTTTGGCCTTCAAATCCGTATCTCTGGGTGGCCCCTTCCATTTCTGATCTGCCCAATCACGCAGGGAAAATGTTTTCATCTGCCGCCTGTCCATCTCGTCCAGTATCTTCCACGCCCTTTGATCATCGTTCTCAACACATCTCTCGATCATGAGCTTCGCGGTACCAGGCCTCATGTACCATCCGCCGTCTGGCTGGTCGGCTCCTACGTCCACCATCTCCTCCAGGTAGCGGAACGCGTCTTCATAATCGTCATGTTTGAGACAGGCCAGGATGAGGCGGTCGTAGGTCAGATAATCGGGTTTGATGCCCAGCGCTTGCATCTCCCCCGCGAGAAACATGCTGAGATCCTTGCGATCATGCCTTGATGTTCCCTGTAGAAGAGCGTTGAACGTTTCGGTGTCTGGCCCGCTTTTGCAGATATCGTGTAACCTCTTGTAAAGTTCTACGGCTTTCTCGACCTGGCCTGTATGGATGGTGGCTTCGATTACCACGTTTGCCGCCGCCACGGGGAGTACGTGGCTATCGTGGGTTAGTTCTTCCAGCTCGACCCAGGCTTTCGCCGCAAGGTCTCGAGACTTGCTCAGGGTGAGGAAGAGCGGACGAGTTGTGCTGGCGTCTGTTTGAAGACCAGCCTTGGTCATGATGACCAGGACTCGGAAAGCTGTTTTCAGGTCCCCGGCTCCAGCGTATGCAGCGAGCAGAGCCTCGTAGTGGAAAGCCGTAAGGGGGGATTTTCGCGAGGAGAGTATACGAATGACTGATGTAGCGAGCTCAGGGTCGGCGTATCGGGCTGCGAGGTTCAAAGCGGAAAGGCAGATTCCGTCTGACAAGACTAAGTTTTCGGTATCAACACGCCTTTTCCAGATGTACTTTGTTCCTTCATACTGCATCGATGTTAGACAGTGCAATATCATAGCGGAGTGACTACCTACGTGGAGATCTTTACTAAACATATCAAGTAGGTAATACCACATGGTAGGCAGTATTTCGTTTCTGCTGTTGTCAAACCTGTATTTTAACAGTTTGAACGCCTCGTCCAGTTCATCCGCCTCACAGAGCCGAAACAGAAATATGTCATAGAGCCAGGGCAGAACTATTATCCCTTCAGAATGCATCTCTTCCAATTTGTCCATTGCAACTTCGTATTGCCGGTCCCGGATCAATCCAACGACCAGACTATGCCATCCTTCGGGGGAGAGCCCAAGCCATCGTTCCTTCATTTCCTGCATAATCTCCGCTCGTAACAGATAATCCGGATGTATCGCAAGAGCCTGTAGGGCCCCGTGGTACAATCCAGAGTCCGCTATGATGCCATACGCTTTCATTTCCTCCATCAGCATCCGAACTGACCCGGCGCTTCCCCTCGTGCAACTCGCATTTGCCCTGATAAGAGAATCATAATGGATCAACGCCGGTTTTTCTCCTCTATCCAAGATTAAATATTCCACAATAGAAACAACTCGCTCATAAGACTTTTTCTCGGCCCTGACATTCCGCAATAGGTCGTGTATCTGCAGAATGGACAAATGGTCGAGCGCCTGTCTGATGGTTCCTAGTGCTAGACGCTGGGCTTCCGAAACTTGACTCGCCCAACCGGGTCGTGGGATCTGTCTGCTCCATAAATTGCTGTCGAAGGTTGCAGGATTATCCGCGCCCGTTCCCGTTGTTGTAAGTTTGACCGTCCTCATCAAAGGTGGCTTTTTCAAGCTGAGGTTGTGCTGGTGGCTGCCAGATTCAAGGTTTCGATCACGATACCCAAAGGTTCGGGGAGCTTCTGCAGATGCAGAGGTATCTATAGATGTCGTTCTGTAGGTGGAAGTCCCCAGCGCGGCTGATTCGCCCTCGGTGGCCGTGTGAAGGGCTCGAGGGCTGTTCGGTCGTTGATCAGAGCCGGTGCCTCGGGCAGTTAGAATTCTCCGAGCTGTTACAGTCCGAGGAGATGTGGAGGAGATGACGATGCCATTGATCGCGGGGCAGAGGCATCGCCAAAGCCCATCGATTGGGATTTGTGTTGGTGGCATCGACGTTCGTTGGTGTGAATGTGCATGTGTATTGAAAGAGACCGGTGGTTGATGCAAAAGATTTGGGCCGTCAAACGTCAGCCTTGCCTTCTCATCACGTGGGGCGTGTCAAAATCGCGTTCGCTCGTCATCACAGGGCAGAAAGTAGGTATGGTATGGCTTCATGGGCGAGCAGGAAATCAGATATGATTCGCAGGCAGACTTTGAAGTCCATTTATTGTCCAGCATTGAGGCCATAACATATTTTTCTCCAGGCTAACAGACTCCTTGCACCGTAACGCGCAACCAGGTATCGAGCATTTCTGGAATCGCTTGAAGCTCCGGTAGAGCAATTCGCAGCCCCTCCATCCTGAAAGTCCCCATAAACGCTATGCTCCCGATTCATATGCGCCAGGTATCCCATCAACAGCCACATCCAAAGCTCATCTCCAAAGCTCAGTTGCCCCTTCCTCTACCCCTCCCTCTTCCACCTCCTCTGCCCCCGCGTCCTCTGTCTCCTCCTCTTCCCCCGTGGTCACCTCTTTGTGCGCCACCTCTGCCACCTCTGTAACCACTACTTTGCTCTCGTTGCTGTTGGTCCTTTACCAGGTCGATAATCTCATCTGGTACCCGCAGATATTTGATCTGCGCATATTAGCCTCCGCTCTTCTCCCCTAATCTCTCGCAGGATGCGCGGTATATGGCATACATTATTTCCCTTGACATATACCTCTGCTAATCTGAAGAACTGGTCGCCATCCTACATGCGCAAACTCCAGTCAGCCTTCGACCCCTCCTGACTCGATGTAAAGGTGTCTGGCGCGGCATTCGTGGTGAACTCGTACCGGACTCGTCTGCACAACCTCCTTCAGCGTCAAGTTCATCCACGTATCGCAAGTAACCAGATGTCCGTTGAGTGTTTCGCCATTCTTAAGTTCGACGAGCATAGGATGGCCTTGGGCCGCTGTGAGAAGCCCGAGAGGTAGCTGGACCGCGTTAGCTCTAACATTATTGGCAGAAAGTAGTTTCAGAAGCGTGTGCGATTCATGGGAGAGATTTGCGCATGCGCTGGAGTATATACCATTATGAAAACTGGGTTGTGGTTGTTGATTTTGAAGTTGTCTTGGCTGGGCTGGGTATACGGTTAGGCAACATGAAATGCCCGCACGTGACCGAACGCTCGCCAACACCAAGATGATTTCTGCTAGTGCTTCGAGCATCATTGTTGATCGGCTCCACTCCTTTGCAGTATGACATGTACTCCGTCTTTCTCCTGAAAAACCATGGTACTACCGGGCTGTCTGTTGTAGAATAGGGGTTGTGGTTCGACTACCGGTAGTCATTTCCCTAGAAATATGTTGCTACCATAGGGTCTGCGATCTATAATTCCTGGTCTCAATTGCCCCTGTTGTGCAGTTTTAACGAGCAGCATTGCTTCTTCGTATTGGCATTTGCTCATGGCTTGGCGCGCTTGTTCTACCGGTACTCTACATACTGATCTTGAAGTTCATTTATACTTAGGATCCTTTCTTCATCTGATCATCTCACTTAATGCCTCACCGATGTCAATAGCGAGCAGAGTCGATCAGCATCACAATAACCGGAAAATGTCATTCGGAGTAACCTCGGTGCTGTATCGTTTATTTTCTTGTCTTTCTAATAGCTGTACAGACTGATAATCTGGTCATTTACTGCGGAGAATTTACTTACGCAAGGCCCGTCAAAAAATGGCTGTCTTAACAAATCAACGACACCAGGCAACTAGAACTCCGACGGATCAGACCCTCTTTCGCAGTCACAAAAGCTCAGCTTCCGGTTGCAACCTGACATTCATATGCAAATGCAAATCAAGGTTGTTCTCGGATACTTGATCGAATGCTTCGTTATTGCTGAGCTCGCTCTTCTCGATTTATTTAAGACTAGCGCCCACCCTCCCCGGCCTCCCCAAACGGACCATTTTCCCTTTCGATGTTGTGCAAATGAAAATTCTGTAGCGTGTTCGCTTTGACAGACGGACATAGCCAAAGAGGATAGGTATATTTCAAACGTCTCATCGGCGTTTTTCCATGAATATTTTCGCAGTAGAATACGGCAATCCAAGATCTTAAACGACATATAAGCTTGTGTCACAGGTAACCGCTTGCATTCAGTACCGGACAGTGCGGTTTAACATGCAGGTAACCTTCCAGCACGCAAAGAGTGGATATTGTTGAATAGAGGGATGAAGAGGCACTAGAATATTACATACCCATCCCAGAAACCACCACGGTCATATCTCGACGTATATTGCTGAAGCGGGATGGACTCAACTATCAAATATTCCCGGTGGTGGGCTTGATGATGGAGTTTATGCAGAACCACAGATCCCACGCCTTACTGAACGTACATACCGCTCCTCCATCAAGCATTTTATCTGTCGTCCGTCCCGCAACAACCACTCACTCGGTTAGCAAGAAACAATGTCCCATCCAGAGTTTGCGGGTCTATATGATGCGAGATGGAAAGTGGGTTGGTTCTCTAGATCTGGTAGGTGGTATGAGGACTTGTAATCTATGAAAAAGAAGGGTAGAGAAAAAGGAAACACCAAGAGGCAATATAGTGGACGCACACTTCAGCTTGAGGTTAGCGAATCGCCACGACAGATGCGATCCAGTATCATTGCAGCCATCGACAACCATCAATACCAGCTAGCGACTGGCTCCATCAAATACCGGCCACGGGTCTTGAGATGAGATATGGACTTCCGATGCCGACCGAGTGATCTCCACCCGGTTCTTCTGTCAACTCCAACGTCGTCCCAACACCAACCCATACTGTATAAGTGTCTCGGATTAAGCCTTTCACCCCGTGCATCAAACCCGATATCTTATTCAGCTCAAGCCTCGTCGTCGCTATCCAAGCAAAGCTTCGTACGAATCCTGGGTCGGAATTATATTGTTGCAGCGCCACTGCCCATACGCCCCCCACCGATTGCCGACAGGGTCGATGCGAGAGTGTCGTCACCCTCGGATGTCCGTTGGGTTTAGCGACCCCGCCGACGACGAGGCCTGGAGAACATTGCGCAGCCACAGAAGAGGGGAATGGACTTTTATCAAACCAGGCTTTTCCCTTCCTTTCTCTTCTTGTCTCGAGATTCAGGCGTCAGATAAAAATTTAATGGTCCAGGTGTTGTCGACATTGATCCATTTGTTACCCCTTTTTCATTCTCGCTTCTGGTATTTACTACCGTCGGCCGAATCTCGCCTCTCCATCGGCATGCACCGCCTATTTTCTGCTGTAGGGCTCAGCGCCCTGCTCGCGCCTGTACTTGCAGCACCTTTCATGTCTAACGATCAGGTTGGCCAGGAGCGGGACATCAGAGTTGTCAGGTCAATTGACGGTACCGTCAAGTTTCAGTCCTGTCAGCGTACCATGTGCTGATTCTTCTCCTGCAAAGACCGCCGATTCGGCCACGTCAATGTTGAACTCCCGAGAGGATCACCTGATGCCAACGCAGAGACTCTGGGGTTCCAGATCGAGATACTCAATTCGGAGACGGCATGTGGATTCGGAAACGTGACAGTCGCTGGCACAGTCCTACCTCAAACCGTGGCCGGCGACGTTTCGACAGGAAAGGGATCCGTCCCGACAACGACGAAGAGTATTGTTCTCGGATCGTGGGAGTTTCACTGCATCAGAGTTAGCGGGGTTCCGGATGCGCAGCTCATGAAATTCGCTATCGAATCCGTTGATGGAAGGGCGATTGAGAACACCGGATTTTCGCTACTGTATAGACAGTCGGGTCTGACAGAGATATTGACTGTTGAGACGGATCTGTCTGTCCCAGATGAGGTTGTCGCCAACCCTAACCGCGAGACCTTGCAGCGATTCCACGAAGCCCATGAGGAGCACGATGCCGAGCGCGCTGAGCTGGGCTGTCTTTGGAGCCAGCTCCGAGAGATCAAGTATCTCATTCGTCAGAAGGAGCGTCTATTGGCCCAACGCGAGTTTCGGCAGGCCAAGATAGACATTACGGACTGCGATAGTCTCAGGTGTTTTGCGAGAGCCATGGCTCAGCAAGCTAAACACGCTGCTTACATGGTGTACGGCAAGATCAACGGAGATGCCCAAGACTTCGACGACTCCCGTCAGCATCGCAATGGTCCTTTCGGCAAACACCATGGGTCCGAGTGTGGAAACCACACGCCTCGCGGCCATGGCCCACCTCATCGCGGACAGAGACCCCATTTTCCTCCCCCTCTTCCTCCGCACCACGGCGAAAACGGATTCTCGGAGTTCGATGGACCTTCGCATCACAGAAGTCACGGAGAAGGTCTTCAACACGGCCCAGAAAGGTCAAGCTCAAGACCACCTCCACCTCCACCCCATCCTGCCGAGCACGGAGGGCCCGAATTCGATCACGGTCCTCCTCCCCCTCATCCTCCTCACCACATGGAGCCAGACCACGAAGAACACGGCCCCCCACCTCCGCGCCCACCTCCCCGTCACGACTCCCAGCACCGAGGCCCACGCCTGGCCTCCGCACTCTTCTCCCCAGGCCCCCCAGACCCGCATCACCACAGCCCCACAGGCAGCGGATATCGCGCACTCCAGATAATCACGCTCACCACCCTCGGCTTGCTCTGCGCCTTCCTCCTCGCCGCTCTCCACCGTCGCCTGAGTGCACAGCCTCAGCACCGGTCGTCGCGCCGAGAGGAGCGCCGCAGACGTCGTGCCCGGAGACGTGAAGCGCATAAGAATATCATCACGCGGCTCCTCGCACGTATGTCTCTACGAGACGAGAATGCCAGCGAGGCCGGGGACGACGTTAAAGATGACGAAGAGAAGCGGCAACCGCACCCTCTCCCTCTCTCTGACGCGGAGGAAGCCACCCGCTCTCCCATGCCCTCCGCGCTTCCAACAGCGCCGCAGCCGTGGATTCCCCATCCGGTTCCCATTTCGATCCCGATCTCAGGGGCCGGAAGCAGACCACCAGTGGCAGAATCCGATCCCAGCCCCCCCGTGAGCGATAGATTCATGGAGGAAGCGCTACCCGCGTATTATGCCGACGACACCGATGTCGACGACGCAGCCAGTGATGAATATGAATGTGGCTGTCTGGTAGCGGATGGGATGAGGTATCTGCCTGGGACGGGGACGCAATACGCTCCGAGCGTCTCCTCCGTAGGCGTAGGAAGTACAGGCAGTGTGAGTGGCGTCTGGGGACCTGATGTGAAGAACTAGCCTTGTTGTGCGCGGAGCGCGGAGCGGCGTTGGGGAGTAAACAAGAGCCAAAAGAGCACCGAGTGCCAGCCAAACTATCTAAGGATAAAGATTACCGTTACATAGACAAACGTAAAACGAGAAACGAGAAACGAAGACGAGATCCCAGGCCGTGGAAGAAACCGAATAGAATAGATGGATGGATGGTGGAGTGGGTGGCCAGGAATAAAGGCTCTGTCGGTGTGGTTTCTTCCCTTAAAAAACCAAAGTAATGAAAAAAAAAAAAAAAATTTGAAAAAGAACCTCCCCCTCTCCCCCCCCCCCAAAATTTACACCCCAAGAGAATGACCCCCGCCCCAATCAACAGATATATATGAATAAATAAATGAAATCCAAATCTCTTCCATTCCAAACCCCTCTCCCCATACTAGGTACCTACAGGTTGCCCTCTCAACGTGCGGTTGTCTTCTTTCTTTCTCTTTTTCCTTCTGAAGAGACGCCCATCTAAGCGAGCCGACGATTAGAAACCACTCACACTTTTGCCTTTCCCCGTCCGTTAGCGCGCTGAGAATACGGAAGCCCATAACCCAAGCTAATAACACGCAGCCCCAGCCAGGTCTTTGACATGACAAAGAGCTTCAGCGAATCAAGATTCCAACGCAAGAGAAGCCCCGCCAGCAAAACACCTCGGCAAGAATATCGGTTTATTCATTAACGCTGTCGATATAAGATAAAAAATTGATATACAAGTGGCCACCTAACCATCCATGCACAACAATTCCTCGTGCCAGCCGGCAACTGCTCCACGTGAGCACTGAAAAAAAGAAGAAAAAAAAAGCAAAGAGGTATAATAATGCTGGCTCCCCCATTCTATCCAATGGAAAAGAAATCCAATGATAAAGCAAGCTAAAAAAGAAAGGAAAAGATAAGAAAGAAAACGCAAACGCCGATTAGAAATGCTTGTCCCCGTATCCTTGTCCCTTGCCTTCCCATCCTCTTTTCCTCGTCTGTGAAGCCCCGGTCTGATTGATGTTCCCGTGCATTATACTCGTCCCCAGAGGCGGAGGGCATGTGGAGTAAGGGGAACATAGATAAGAGTGATCAAAAGCAAAAACTCCGTCCCAAACCAGATCTGCAAAGCTGCGTCTGTGCTGGAATTTTTCTCTGGGCATCCCATCTTGTATAACTCCTCTCTTCCCGATCGAATTTCCGAAGTCTGCGCCGAAAGATCCGAAGTAGCTGTAAATGAGAGCCCATAGTCCGAGTAGAAAAAGAGACGCTGAACGAGGATATCTACCTAATAACGATGCTTGAAGCGAGCACAGCGTAAATAGCAAGGAAGAAGTGTTTTTTTTATACAGGTGAGTCCTCCGGCGGAAGGGTGAAGTAAAATATTGCTCAGAGCAGTTTGACGAAAATCGTGAAGTCGTAATGCCGTGGAGCTTCCCGCGAGAGAACTCATCACTTGCTGATAAGGGGGGTAATTTCTGTTTCTTGATATTCGTTCAGTTGCGAGTCAGATCGTGACTCGGCTGATGTGAGCGCCGAGTCAAGGGCGAGGATCTGCTCTTCGAGGCCGAGTTCGAGCTGCGCTTCCTCTTCCTCAACGCCCTTCTCATTGTTGTCCATGCGGCCTCCCTTGTCGGTCATGCGGAGAGAGATGACGGCCCCGAGGACAGCGATAACGGCGCTGCACCACCATGCAAGGCCCGAGTATCCCAGCTTGAGACCCGCGGAGAAGAGGAAGCCGGATACAGTTGGGCCGAAAGCGCGAGATAGCGAGGCAGTCGATGCAGCGACGCCGTTGATAGTGCCGAGCATGAGGAGAGACGGCGCCGAGTTGGTAAGGAGGATGGCGTTGCTGGGGTAGGCCATGGTGCTGAAGGTGCACTTCCAGATCACGACTACGTAGATGCCGACCATGCGCAGGTTATCCGGCAGCAGCACCAGGTAAGGAGTCACAATGTAGAGGATGGGGTAGGTGATGGCGATGATTCGGAAGAGCCCCAGGGCACCCAGGCGGCGCACCATGATGGGAAAGAAGAAGACGGTGGCGATCATCGAGTAAAGGCCTTGCACGGAGAGGATGACTCCGATTTCTTTCGTTTCGAGTCCATAGCCACTGACAAACTTGAATGGAAGATGCCAGTCATCCGATCCCTTCGGAGGTGATTCTGTACTGAGCATCGTGGGCAGCATGGCATCGAAAGTCATGGTGTGGCTACATACCGATTAATTCTTGGCCCCTGGCAGAGATTCTTCTGCGTTGTGCATTAGATAGAGTGAAAACAACTTACTAAGCCAGGATGCCGTAGCCGATGATATTGAGAACGACCTGTCTCGTGAAAGCCTTGGTCGTTGCTGGCTTGAGCGACCTCGAGAGAGGCCGGACCGCGACCGGCGTATTCAGATCCAACAGTTCGGGTTCGGGCGATGGAGTCGATGGCAGCTTCGGCGATCCCTCGGTGGTGCGGTATCCCGGGGGCTGATCGTCGTCGCTCAGCAGCGACGTCAGCTCATCGAGATCCGTAACCTTCTCGCACCGCGTGGCCCTCTTCGAATCTGCGCACCCTGTCACCTTTCTCAAAATCCACTGGCCAGCCTCCAAACCCGGATCGCGACGGTATTTCTTCTCGGCGTGCGTCTCCTCGAGAAAGAGGATGCCGATGATTACGCCGCAAGTCACAATGACAGTGCAGACCAGGTTAGGTAGCAGGTAGGGGAAACGCGCCCAGATCGTTCCCGGGGAGAAGATGGAAGGATAGTTCTTGACTGGTCGGGCCAATGCGCCGCCGAGCGTTGGGCCGAGGATCGATCTAACACGCTACGGTTAGTTGCCGGTTGCGAGAACTGACAGAGATCGCGGGGAAGCTCACCCGAGACACCACACAAATGGCATAATAGTATACGCCCGAGCTAGGTTGACGGGTCAGCAAGAGACTCTCTCCGGGGGCGATCGTGAGCTGTCAGATGAGACTTACGCTGGTGTTCCTTGACCGTGACCATCTCGGCGACTGTGGTCTGCAAGACGCCAATGTTCCTACAACGCAGGCTCCCGTCAGAAGGGCAACTTTGTACGACATTTCCTGCAAAAAGGAACGGGGACCAGGAATCCACGTACCCGTTTAGAAGGCCGCCTAGGGCGCGGGCGAGTAGCGCGACGGGCAGACTTGGTGCGAAGCCGAAGATCAACATGCTGAGCGCCGTGCCCGCCAGCCCCGTCAGGAGCACCGGCTTGCGCCCAATGCGGTCGCTCAGCTTGCCCCAAGGAACACCAGACGAGAACTCTGCGAAGGCGAAGGCGGACGTGACCATGCCTGCGTATACTGCCGTCTCGGCATCGTTCGTGGTGACTGCGAAGTCCTGAATCATGAAATAAACGTATGGGAAGATGGACATGAAGGCGATGGGTTCGCAGATGCGACACAAGGCTACGCTTCGGGGTCAGTCCACATCCGGAATACAAAAGAGCAGAAGAAGCCGAAGCAGAACTAGTCAATCCGTCCGTCTGTCTCTGCCTCGCTGGATCGACTCACCGAGAATCGTCATTTGCCTGACTGGGAAGGGCGGAGTCTGTTTCCCTTTCCGGGAAGCCGTCGGTCGTGCGCCTGCCATAGCTAAAGGCTGCAGCTCTCTCTCTCTCTTTCTCTATCTCTGTCTCTGTCTCTCTCTCTCTGTCTCTTTCTCTCTCTGTGTCTCTCTCTCTCTGTCTCTTTCTCTCTCGCTCTCTCTCTCTATCGTATTGCGGGAAAAGCGACTCAATTCGACTGGACTCGACCGGACTCGACCGGAGGTGGGTGCTGGCTGGATGTTCTTTGTGGAATGTGGGCGTAGTGAGGGAGGGAGCGGGATATACAACTCAGTGGGGGAGGGGGAGGGGGAGGGGGAGGGGCAGGTGAAGTTATATCTTCGCTTTGTTCGCTCTGGAGAGTGTGCGGTGTTCCGAAAATGGTTCGACCGTGTGGCTGCGTGTGTGTATATATATATATATATGTGTGTGTGTGTGTATATACCTAGGTATATATATATGTGTGGTGCGGTGTTTGCTGTTTGCTGTTTGATGCGAGCTCGGGTGCGGTGCGGTGAGTGGCAGAGGAGGAGGGCATGTGTGAGTGTTAAGTATTGCGTATGATCTGCTGTGCAATGAGGATGGTGATTGTGACGACGAGGCTGAGGATTGAGGTGATGGCAGTGAGGATGGTGATGAGTAGGTCTGGAGGGACGGAAGGGATAGAAAAGACGTGGTGTTCAGGGGAGCCGGAGGACGCTCATGTATGTATGTATGTACTTGACCGCCAGGAGGAAATTTGGAGGGCCGTTAAAGTAGGCGGGCCCTCTTTCCCGGGCCGTGGGCCCTTTGTAGATTATACCTAGTACCTCCTTAGTAGGTAGTTGTGGTAGCTACAAGTACGTAGTAAAAGTAAGAAGTAATTTACTTTCTTTACTTTTACTTCCTCCATGGGGGGCGGTGACGAGGACGCGCTGCGCTGAGAGACGACGAGACGTGACGAGGCGAGACGGTGGATCTAGCCGGATGCGGTAGTAAAATAAGAAATATGGGTAAGGAACTCCCTTTCACCTTATCGACAGGGTCTCCAGGTCTCCAGGTCTCAAGGTCTCAGGTCGTCTTCCCTCCCGCTTTGTGGCCCGGCTGGTGCTCCGCGCATCGCATTGGGCCGGGGCCAGGGCTATAGCCAAAGAGCCAGAGCCAGAGCCAGAGCCGAAGCCGAAGCCAGAGCCAGAGCGGTGTGTGCGGCGTCGGCCGTGGGTTGCCCATATGACAAAAGAAGTGCATATATGTCAGTGCATATATGTCAGTCGGTTTTTATTGTGGCCATTGGTCCTCTTTGCGCTGAAGAAGCAGATCAACGATAGAGACTCGGCCCCCTTACATCTATCTACCTGACCCGCATCAATATGCAATTAATCAACGCTATCAACGCTGAATTTCTGGAGACTACAGAGACACGCTGGATGCATCCCTGACCCCACGTTGTGACTGACACCAAACCAGTGAGCTGGTTCGGGCAGCCAGCCAGCCAGCCAGCCAGCTAGCCAGCTAGCCAGCTAGCCAGTCCGTACAGTAGTAAGTGAGTGCAATTGAATTTTCCTCCATGCGGGCTCCCCTGGCTAGATCCGGCATGGTTCCATACTAATACTACTAGTTGTTCCATACTAATACTACTATAACAGTTGTACTATACCGGTACTACAACGACAACTACAACTACAGAGTACAACTGCAACTACAGTATACAACTGCAACTACTACTACGACTACTACGACTACTCCGACTAGCAGAAAAACATACTCCAGGTGAGAACTGACCCCTTCGCCCAAGCGTGATGTGGGCATCAAAACACACTTTCCCGCGCCGTCATGAATGACGATGCTGATGCTGATGCAGGAAAGATAACCCGAGCGAGCTCTCGGCGGCTGACTGACTGACTGACTGACTGACTGAATACTGGCTCTACGGAACCTTCTCCCGCCTCTCCGAAGGACATAGGTCCGCCAGTGTCACGACACGAGACGGCTGCTTGTGCTGAAAAGTCACGCAGTGAGATGAGATGTGAGATGAAAAGCGATGAGATGCGATAGATGACATGGCAAAAGAATCCCACGGACTGATCATGAACTCTATACTAATATTAGATAGAATCTGCGGATACTGCGTCTGGCTCCAACTAAAGTTTTGGGCCTTGGCCGGGGCCAAAGTCGATAACAACTACACCATATCTACGGAGGTCGAGATGACGATCACGATCAGGATCACGATCACGATCACGATCACGCTCACGCTCACGATCACAATCACGATCCCGATCACGATCTTGATAATTCCGAGAACCAGGTTGCAATACTCCTGATACGAATTATGGGCCTCTGTCTCAAATGTTACTGCAAGTAGAGTAGCAGACGGAGATTTTGGCATCGGAAATCATCTCCTACAGTTCAGCAGCTCGAGTACCTAGCTGGCCCGTGTGGAGAGAGAGAGAGAGTTTGGTCCCAGCGCGACCAGATCACCGGTCCCGACGGACCTCCCATCCCCTGGCCGGTCAGCATCCACTCCAGCTCGTCTGTCTGCTTTGGTTGGGTTGGGCATGCTTCCGGATTCCGGATCCCGCAAGGCTAGGGCTGTTCCAGGTTGGGGCTGTGAGTTTGTCAGGGGCAGGGGACCAGCCGCCGGGCAGCGATCTGAGGGGTCCTTCTTCGTACAGTACTTGGATCTGACTGTGCACAGAGGAGAGTACGGTAGATAGACTCTGTCTCTTGCTTGCTAGTGCTCTGGCTTGCCAGCATTTCCCAGCAACGGTCAACCCGAAGCCAGGCTCCACCCCCCGCGCATCGAATCCGAGATGCTGAAGTTACTCCGTACAGATCTGTCTTTTACTTTCCTTCTTTCTTTATTTAGCTTCTTTTTTTTTCTTATTCAACCCCCCTCCCCTGAAAAAGAACCGTTCGTTGCTTCTGCGGTCAGATGCAGGGTGAGTGGAATAAGCAATAGGGCGAACGGAGTTTGCTGAGCCCGCTGCAAGTGATGTCGAAGGGAGGGGGGAAAAACCGAATTTAGGAGACCGACCACACTTCTTGCTTTTGCTAGAAGCTTTTGCATGCACATATCGCTCCGGATTGGATGATGTCTGCAGACCGAATTGTCATTACGGATTGTTTCTTCGTTTTTTACTTTCTTCTGCTTCCTTTTCGTATTCTTCTTCTTATATTCCTGAGACGTAGGGGAGAGTGAGCCAACCACTATCCCCTTATCCCGCGGAATCGGGACCTCGACAGGGATCAGAGAAGGTATTTGGAAGAGATTGCAGAGAAAAGAAGAACACAAAAAGGGGCCCAACGCTGTCTCAGAGCTCTGATCATCCCACGAGAGGGCCCCGTCGGCCATCGGCCCTTTCCAATTGGCCGGGTCCTGGGCGGCTTGGCCTCGCCTACTTTCGCTTGGGTTGATGGAAAATGGTGGTGCACTGCTGGTGTAAACACACACAAACTTTCTTTCCTCCTGAGTCCTGACTCCTCTGGTCATGGTCATGGTTATGGATGGTCATGGTCATGGTTATGGCTATAGTCATTGGGCCTCGGCGATTTTCTGGGATCGACCAATGACAAGGCCTAAGGCAGTACAGAAAAGCAGGGTCCCGGCTCCGGGTCCGGGTCTGGGTCCGCTCCCTACCCTGGCTTTCGACCTTTACAGGAGTAGTGCGCCCGCGGAACTCTTCCTCAAGTACTCCGCCGGGGAAGACCAACGATGGGATCCGAGTAAAAGCCAAACAGTACGGTACAGTATCAGCAAGTACGGTACAACGTACCACGTACTACCTACCTACCTACAACTATACAGTAGTACAGCGTCACAGGCGTAATTGTGACACCCTGAGCGGACGAAACAGGGGTTTTTACCAAGGGAAATAGGATTTTCGAAGGGGTCGAAGGAGACTCTAATAGTAAATCGGAGAAGCGTCCTATTGGATCGGGAATATAGCAAAAGCATATCGAATGGATTTGAATGCTAATCGATAGGTATTTTAACGCTGCTTTTTCGACCTTTTCTCTCAGTTTCAGTAATCCAACTATCCATACAGTACGTATGAGACAGCGTTGTTTAGACGTAATCGCGGCGGAGGCGTGGTACACAGCCTGGTAGGAATAAAAGCTTACAAAAACAGCGAGAACCTACCTACCCGCAGGCTGCAACACTTCGGCCTGTACTGTGGTACAACTACTACTCCGTAAGTACTACTACTACAACTATCACTACTTGTACGGTATTGAGACGAACGGACCATTTTTACTACCTGTGGACTAGGCCCAGGTGGGTCTCATTAGGTAGGTGCTCGGCTATACCGAGTATGGACTGACGCCTGACCCTACCTAACGCTACTTACTGTACGTACTCTGTGTCTCTGATTCGACTATCCAGACTACTGTACTCCGTAGTAATGATTGCTTCTTCGATTTTTAGCCGAACGTTGAAAGGCAGGTCGAGCAAGCGTGTACACGGCTTGGCTACAAAGCTTGCGCAGAAAAAAGCAGCTGGACGGAAGCTCAGAACACCATCTTCCGAGCTCCGCGCCAAGCGAAAACCAAACCAACAGACTAATCTAGGAGTAGCTACGGCCCTCGGCATCAGGATGGGCATGAAACCGAGCCGCGGCGACAACGACAACGACAACGACAACGACAACGACCATGGCGATGACGATGACCTCTTGTTCTCGGTGCCATAGGTATTCCGGACGTCTCGTCTCGTCTCGCCTTTGCCTTCGCCTTCGCCTTCGCCTTCGTTGCACCGACCGCACTGCACGCGCGTGCGTGACAGACAACTCGCTCACACCGCCATTTCCAATGTCGCGAAGAGTACGGAGGTAGAGCAGAGAAAGGAAATTGAGATGGAGCTTCCGGAAGGGAGGACGTGACCGCCTTCCTTCTCCTCCATTCCATGACGTCTCGTCCAACTGAGGATCGCGGGCCGGCCGGCGTGGTTGTGGCGAGTTGTCGTCGGCGTGGCCAATCACGAATCTCGTCGCGCCCGCTTGCTATCACTCGCAGCAAGCTCTCACACCCGGGATACTGGGTGCCTTTGGTTTGGCATTCGCCGCTTTCAGTCGGGGCCCGCGCCCGGTCTCCATCTCGAATGCCCTTGACAGCAGAAGGCACCTCAGACAGCCGTCACGAGATGCAGGTGCAGAGTGCAGTGGGCAATTTTAACCTCTCTGCCGTGTTCTGCTGCTGTGCTGAGTGCATTGGGAGGGAGGTCGGGTTGGTGCTCAGCAACGTCGTCACTACGACTGACAGGGAGGTCGGTAGGTATATCTGAAGGTTCATTGGGAAGAGGTGCTTGCTCAGCCTTGCTGCATACCTAGTTCGTGTCTTTTCGCTTTACTGCACGCTCCGATCACATCTAAGCTCAATCGGTCACAATACAAGCAAGATACGATAACCTTACCTTTTTGAAGCCGGTGTTAATCGGTGAGCTATATCTGTCCCAGGATCGTGAATGCATTCCCAGGGCCCCCCCGGACCCGAAGAGGTGTGGCGGGTGGCTACACCCCTCTGCTTCTGTCGTTCGTCTCTATGTGCTATCATAGAAAACTCGTCTACTGAGACGACGCAAATGTCTGATATCCAGAGCAGGCCCGGCCGCTACATGGCGGTGTAGGTGTATGGATAACCCAACCAATCGAGTCGTCTGGGACTTTCTCAAATCCCGTTTCTCCCCTAGGTGGCACAAGACAAGACACGACAAGCGTAAGACCTTCGAGAAAAACTGTCCGAATTCGAAAATGAGAAGACGTTGGACTTCCGAGCCAAGGACCATCTGCAGCGCCTGCCACTCTGCTCGCCCTGCATACATACACATAGGCCTCCTACATGCACACGCTTGCGCGGTCGCATGTCCTTCCAAGAAAAGATAACACACGCTTCGATCTCCGCCCCTGTTGGGTCGTGCTATTGGTTTCGATGCAGCCATCTCAACATTTCAGACTTCGTTGGTTGCACAACAATGAGCATCTCGAGAGCAGTAATAAGTCCACCACTGGAGTCTCGTCTCGTCACGCCAGCTCTGCATCAGACTTGGTCATACATTAGGCAGCGCTCGAGGCATCATCATCGTCACCGTCACCATCACCATCACCATTACCATGGAGTCGCAGCCTCTTATCACCCGCGACCACGCTTCTTTAGCCGGTCATTAGCCCAGGTAACAAGGCCTCTTCTTTTTGGTTTACTAATCTGCCAACTTGATCGACACCAACGACAGGCATGATGCAGGTGAGAGGCGGGCGATCATCTGTCTTCAGAAGCCAGAACTGCAACCGGCCGCCCCGTTTTTCTGCAACGCTGAAGCCGTTGGCCTGCCGAATTGGCCGCCTTAGCTTCACCTCATTGAATAATAAGCTTGATTGACGGTGTAGTTCTCGAAAAACCATCCGATCTTTTGAGCTTGTTATGCATACTCTCGCGTAGCGCCGAGGTCATGAGGCCAAGTGCTGCAGCAGCCTCCCATTTTCAATATCAGCATGCGCTCGCAGCAGCTCGTTTCGGGGGAAGGCCTCCCAACATCCTGACGAATGGACAGACACAGCAGCCAGCTCGAGATGACCTGACACAGCAGGATCCAGAGCTGGCTCAGATCGGGACTGATCTCGTACCACTTGACAACTCACATGGCGTGGGTGCGGCAGCATACGTGGTGCCGCCCGTTCCTTTGATAGAGCTCCTTTCGAGGCAAGGCTGGCCGCCCGAGTCATATGATGTCCATGTTGTTGACTTCCTGAATCCGCTGCCTATCGCGAGGCTACACTGCATAGATGTCGAGTAACCACACACCGCGTCGTCTTCCGGCTTCGCTTCTCTGGGCTTCACTGCAGCAGGATTTGAGTTTGACGTGAGATTTGCGAGATCTCCCGTCTCTGACAGATGATATAATTGTCTTGTCAAGGGAGCGCTTGACCCGGGATCACGGCATCCGTTACCTATCAGGCGGTGTTGTGCTTCGCGAGTGTATTGAACTGCGCTTTCTGCCGCAAAACAGGTCTGACAACGAGAATAGAAAATACCGAAATACTCTCGATTCTGGATTCTCATCTCGCACTTTTTTTTCTTTTTTTTTCTTCTTTCTTTTTTTTTTTCCCTTTTATCGGAGACACCTTGCACGTGATTTGCTGATCTTGCCGGATCAATAATGGCTCCGAACCGTCACCAAGAAGGTGGCATGGCGGGGTAACTTGCCACTTCGCAGATTTGCAGAGAACAATCCCACACAAGATTTCTTTAGTTCACGCAGCTCCAAACTTCAACTTTCAGGTACAACAAAGCAACTGCGAATATGGGAGGAAAGAAATCGGCAGGGGAGAACACGAAGAAGGCTTCTGGGAACGCGCAAAAGGCCGAAGCCGCAGCTGCCAAAGCTGCCCAGCAGAACGCAAAGAAAGCTCAGGAGGAGGACGAAGAATGGAGCAAGGGCGCAAAGAGCAACGCTAAGAAGTAAGTCCCTCCCCAATCAAAACTGAGACATCTCAACCCTTCGAGAAGAGATCACCCCACCACTAAACGCAACCGTGGATAGGGAAGCCGAAGCCGCAAAGAAAGCAGAGCAGGCGCGCAAGAAAGCCGAGAAAGACGCCCTCCTGGCGGAAGAAGAGAAAGGTGCTCGCGCGCTGCCCAAGAACTCCAAGACCGCCGTCAAGAAATCCGCCGTGTCCCGACCCCTCGACCTCTCTTCCCTCGACGACGCCCCGCCCGCTGCGCTCAATGCTACAGGTATCGACAACGCGCTCGATGCGTTGTCGCTGACGACGGAGGCGAATGCGAAGATTGATAAGCATCCCGAGAGAAGGTTCAAGGCGGCATTTGCGGCCTTTGAGGAGAGGCGGCTGAAGGAGATGGAGAGTGATGGCAGCGGGCAGGGTCTGAGGCAGAACCAGAAGAAGGAGAGGATCCGCAAGGAGTTTGAGAAGAGTGAGGAGAATCCGTTCAATCAGGTCTCTGCGAGGTATGATGCGAGCAAGGAGGAGGTGAAGCAGTTGAGGGAGCAGGAGAGGGCGAAGATTGAGGGGAGATTGGGGGCAAAGTAAGTAGATCAGTCATAGGATGCACGATCAGTACGGATCGATGATTAATGATGGATGATCCCTGGCGGTCAATGATGATGCTCATTGTTCGCGAGAGGTTGTTACCCTAAAGCGACACTGGGGCATTTTGCGTAAAATAGACGTATCACGAAGTAAACAATCAGTACATTACGCAGACTCTCTCTCGTTTAAAAAAAGTATATGCCCAGTGAAACAATTCCTCCCTGCCCGGGTACCTTATGCACATCAATTCAAACAAGGCTAGCCTTTAGCGAAAATGGCAATCATCACGTCTCCCCAACTTTCCACGCGTCAACATCACCTCAATTACTCTAGCACTACAACAATGGCCCCACGCCACCTCTCCAACCTGGCCGCGGTGCGGAAGCAGCATTTGCTAATAGAGTTGTATGCTACCTCCTCCTTCCCGCTGAAAACAACACTAACAAGTGGCAGCTCAAGCCTCAAATACGCCTGTCCTCATGGCGTCTTCGTGTCCCTCACACCTGGCGACCCCAGTCTCTGGTCTGGCGTCCTCTGTATCCGCAAAGGCATGCGCCCTCAAGTCCCTAAAAATAAAGCGTGCCTGTACCTACCAGACAAACGGCTAATGTCCCCCCCCCCCAGGCCCCTATGCCCCGTCGGTCCTGCGCTTTCAGATCTCCTTCCCACCTACCTACCCCTCCCTGCCACCTCTCGTCACCTTCAGCACCGACATGTTCCACCCCCTGATCACCCCTCTGACGACGTACATGTACACGACCGACACGCAGAACGGCGCCGAAGGCACCGTGTCCGCGACGGACGAGGAGCGCTTGCCGCCCGGGGGCTTCAGCTTGCGAGCGGGCTTTCCGACGTGGTTTGGGCGGCGGAGTCGGCGGCGCGACGACAATGGCAGTACGATGGGGACGCCGGGCAAGATTAGCGTGAGCGGGTTGTCGAGTCCTGTGTCCGTGGTTTCCGGGGCGAGCGAGACGCCCCGGAGTGTAGGGGGGAGCGGCACGACGGCGGGTAGTGGTGAGGGGAAGAGGGAGGAGGTGGGCACGTATGAGGTGTTGAGGTATATCAGGAGTACGTTTGACGATGCGGCGGTGCTGGATGCGGTGCCGCTCGAGGCCGCGGGGAATCCTGGGGCGTGGCATGCGTGGCGGACGCATAGGGTTAAATCTGGGCAGGTCATGCCCACGTCTCCTCCGCCTGTACCGTTGAGCGAGGTCCCGGGTAGCGATGATGGGACGCCGGAGGGGTATAAGAGTCTGGCGGGTGGAGGGGGAGTGGTGGGACAGAGGAGACCGGGGGAGTGGAATTGGGATGGGGTGTGGGAGGTTAGGGTTAGGAAGGGGGTCGACAATAGTGTGGCGGAGGCGGTACTCTTTGGGAAAGAGGCGGGAGATGATCTGATCAGGTTTCTGAATCTGGACGAAGGGGAGATCGGAGGTGTTATGGAGAGGATTCGGGAGAGTGTTGAGGGGGCTCAGGAGGATGCTCAGAGAAGGGCGGCTGTCCAGGGAGAGGATTTGGTGTGGAAGGTTGGATCATGAGAAAGAGACGACGGAAGACAATACCCGCTGCTGGGCAGCCTACTGATGTTATGGTTGAGAGAAGAGGAGTGGGAGAGAAGTTGGGACTTCGATGCTAAAGGGACCAGTGGGCACGATACACCCATCCGAGCTAAGTTGTTATTTCCAGTACCAGCGTGAAAATGTTTTATGGCTCATAGACGAGCGGTATTGGGACTCTGATTGAAATGCAGTGCCGCCAAATTTTCACCGCATCTTTTTCCCACCTTTTACCTTCTCCTTCCTCCATCCCTTGTCTCAGGCTCGGGGTCTTTTTGTCCAAAATGTCATGCCAGCCTATCGAGGGTTTCATCATGCATTAAACTACAGTTTTACTGGCAATGCGTTTTGGCGAATATCCATGTCTTCGATAGCAAGATTGTTTACTTTCCGGATATCTTGACGAGGTCAATTTGCGGTTTCCTTTTATCATACACGACTCGATGTCAAGTGGCAGCGGTAGAGGTTATCCCTCTGGCTCGCCCCTTCCCAATTCCAAGCGTTCATATCCCACGGTCAAACAAAACAAGACTTGCCTTGCCCTGGATGACCTCTTCTCTCCATCGACGTATCTTTCAATTCTAGCATGACACCATTCTTCGATTTTTGGCTATGAGCAGCAGTAACTCAGCAATCGGAGCACTCATCCTCGTTCCGATTGTAATAGCAGTATCCGCAGCATTTATTGCCATCAAGTTTTCGCACGTCTGCAAACGACTCGGCCGCCACCTCAAGAACTTCTGGAACGAGTCGGTCCCCTGGTCCGACACCAGCAAGGCCAACCGCCGCCGCAAGCTCCGGCGCTCTAATCTCCGTTCTACTCAGCTGTACGCCGACTCGTGGATCGATCTCGAGAGTATCGATTCTCGTGAGGACTACAGCACGTTCGTCAACCAGACCCGACCTCCAGGGAGGAGGGTGAGATCGTACAGCGAGGGCGACAAGGAGGAGCCTGTTGGCAGTGATAGTTTGACGAAGAGGATATGGCATCCGTCAAGGAGCGATCGGCTCGCGTGGAGCTTCGCGAATCCGCGGGTGGCGGACAAGAGCAACGAGAGATCACAACGCCCCAACCCCTTCGGATCATCAAGCGTAGTCAGACCGTTGCCCACTGTGCAGCGCCGCGAGAAGCTATCCGACGAAGTCGCGGAGCTTCTGCTGGGAGTGACGAGAGCAAGGGGAGTCCACCGCAGGGAGTCGACAGACCGTTGACGGTGAGGAAGAAGAGGCCAGGGCGGGCGACTGTGGTTGGGGTGGGGGCGGTTTTGGATGAGCCTGCTGGGCAGGCTAGGAAAGGGAGTGTGGTTGAAGATCTTTTGAAGCAGTACTCGAGTAAGTTGAGGAGCGGGATGAGTGATGAAATGCATACTAACTGATTGCAGACCTGAATGAGCCGGAAGAGGACTTGGAAGTCACGCCGAAAGCTCAAGCTCTTGCAAACTTAAGAGCGAACAGCGCTGGGGCTTTCCTCAAGTCGGAGCTCTACCAACACAAGCAAGACATCGAACCCACTAGTCACGCAGATCGAGACAATCGACACTCTTTATTTACACCTAAATCGACTATCCGAAGGCCTCCTCGGCCTCCACCCAGCGCGAGCCCGCCCAAGATTTCTGAACGCCGTCCTTCAAAGTCTAAAAACTTCTTCCTGCGAGCTATCGGGGGGCGCATGTCGGATGATTCCAAGTCAGTCCGCCGTAAGGAGTCCGAAGTTTCAAAAGTCGCCTTGGTCCGTCGACTTTCGCGAAGCAGGAAGCCTAGCTGTGCCGAGTCTTGTACAGATAGCATCATTTCCACAGACAGTGGTTACTCTTTCGAGCCTGGAAGCTTGGATACCACCGATATCAGCGTTAATTCTCGACTTTCTTCTTATATGAGGGGTTCGCCGTCTTACAGCTCATCCGACAGGGCTGCTGGTCCAGACGTCTTTGTTCTTTGCCCTCAAATCATTATTACCCCTGAAATCTCGAGTCTTGATACGGGAAACTGTTTCCTGTGGGTAGCCATCGAGATCACCGGTACACTTCAGAAGGCGGATGGATGCGAGAACCGGGATAGTGGCGGCCGACTGAGCAATGTTCACATTTCAGGTGTGCTTTTTTTTTTCTTTTATCTCTGGCTGTTGCAAATCAAACTGACGTCCCTCCCAGATTTATGGCCCTATGGCCGCTTACATTCCATGCGTATTGACCTTCATCCCGGTCGCGGCTGTCTCGTCTCGGAAATCATTGGCGATCTCCACAAGACGAAAATAGTCAGGGCTGGAGAAACTCAACTTATCCTCGCCAAGATACGATTTAGCAAGTTCGTCCCACCTACTCATATCAGAGAGTCGTCGTCTGATGGCCTGATTGCCCAGTTGGAGAATGACTTGGGCGATACGCTCACTCCATACCTAACAGTTCGGCTCACGTACAAGCACTCTGCGTTTCCCAACATCAAGGGCCATGCTACCACAGCAGAGGGAATGAGCATGCACATCACCAGGCTGCAGACGGAAGCAACTGCTGTCATCAAGAGGCACAATCCACTGTCTGCTTGGTCACCTCGAAATTCACAGACCTGTCAGACGATCAACTCTCCACTTGAAGCCAATCCTCTGATCAATCTGGCCGAAACTTACCTCCCATCCGAAAGCGCCAGAGATGTCATTCGCAAATTAGCAAGCGAACGAACTCCGATCCCTTTAGAAAAAAGGTTTGAAAATGCGGCAGGCTCGAGTGAGGAAACCGTCAAGCCCTTCCTCAACACGAGTATTGCAGCTCGGATCGGAATACCAGAGCTTCCATCTCCGCTGGTCCAGACTGCTTCAGCAAAGGGCACCATGGCACCTCCTCCACTCACCGGCCCATTCGCCCGTCTCGACTCTATCCGCTCCACCTATACTGATGAGCGCCATTCGGAGGACGTGGACCCCGCGCGCAAAGTCTGGAGTGAAATGCGTCGTGCATCCCGCGGGGGCGGCCGGTCTCGTCACCCGCGAGGTAGCATCAGTGCGGATCACTATTTTAGCGTGGATGAAGGATGTAGCCCAAGTCAGCTCAGCTCGTTTGTAGATTCGCCGTCGAATCATCCGAATAGGAAAGGGGACAGTCTCAACGAGATCAAAGAGGAGCGGAGTCGGATTATGGACTTGGCGCTGAAGAACAAGCGGAGCGTAGGACAAGAGAGCCTGAAGAGTTTTGTGCCGAGTGTTGTTGGGAAGGGTAAGGGGGCTGGTGGTCCGCTTAGCTCGCTGGGCCTGAGTGTTGGGCGGACGTGGGGGTGGAATGGGAACTGGTGGTGAAATGGCGACGTGTGAGGAGTTGGCCTTCAAGGCTTAGGGTAGAGAGAGGATTGGTGTTCTCGGCATTTTTAGGGAGCCTCTGGTGTTCTTTGTTGTCTTTTTTCTACGGGTGTTTTTGGTTGATAGATGATGGGTCGGGGTCGGGGGCAGTGTGTTTTGTTTTTGTGTCGACTTCTTGTGCGTAGACAAGCTGCAAGCCAGCAAGTGAGTAAGTAAGTAAGTAAGCAATGCTATGGGGTCTCTCCTTTGTTTTCTTTTTGGCTGGTTTGGCTGGTCTGTCTGGTCTGTCTGTACAGTACTAGGTACGGTAACTGCTAATGCATCAACCATAAGATTAAGCGAGCCTCATTCAAAAGAAACCCCCCCTCCTTTCTTACACACTTGACGAGTATATGACTCGTCATTATTCAATTGGAATACTTATTAGGGTTTTAAACTCGGGAGAGACTTGGCATTCTTGCCAAATATGTATATATATAAATATATAAATGAGGGGAAATTCGAAGAATACCACGCTCTATGTATATAGTACACGGTACGCCTGCCACCCTTTCTTTATTCTGCTTTTGATTTGATCACCGACAGACAGCTTCTTCATCCCATCCTTCTTCATCCCATCCTTCTTCTTCTTCTTCTTCTCCTATGGACTGACTACCTGCACAATTTCTCGGGCCAGTGACGACAGGGAGATTCTGAGCCTGTCTTGATTCGTAGTACCTGGTGTCTTCTTACATACCTGTTGCGGAAATGACAGGGGGGAGCAGGGAGGGAGAGGGAGAGATTTTTTTCCCTCTATCGGCGATGTGATCGGATGGATGGATGGATTGATGGATGGATTTGCGAACGAGCGTCCTCCTTTGTTTTTTTTTTACAAAAAAAATTTAACTTGGAGAAAAAAAGGTGGGGGGGGGGGGAGGAGAAAAAAAACACCCCCTTTGAAAACGATGCCGGATGTGAATTAGCTTGTCGGATGAGATGTGTGTCTGACGGGCATACCGATTGAAAAGACTAGGAGGATCTGCGATAGAGAGGGAATGGGGTGGAAGGTGGGAGAGGTGGGAAGGGAAGGGGAGGGAAAGGGTTCTTCAGACGATTTGATGGACGATACGGTGTTGCGCTTTCGATACAAAAAAAAGGAGAAGAAGAAAAAGAAGAAAAAAAAAAGAAGTAAAAAATAGAAAGAAAGAAAAAAAAAAGCTATCTGCAAATACAACGGCTCATACACAAGAGATGCGGACGCGGGCCTTTATAGCCTGCTTTGCGATAGATGAGAAACGATGATGTTTCGTAGCTACTTGTGCGGATTGAGAGGGCTTGTAAAGCTATACGTACGTGTTCGATAGGGGGTGAGAGACTGATTCGGTGTGAATTGTTAGTGAAATGCTTTTGGGGGGTGGGTTATGGTTTATGGTTTGTGGTTTATGATTTATAATTTATAAGAATTTTGTGATATCGCGGGACTAGAAAATTAGGGCTAGTATTTGAAAGAGAGTTTTTAGATCATAATGAAAGATAATCCTCTCGTTAATGAAAACCAACGTAGCAAAGCAGATACTGCCGTAGCCAGCTTAAAAGCATGCTGTATTATAATCGCAAAAGTACGAGTACCGAGGCCGGACCGGAGTCAGTCGTAGATGCACACGATAGTACACGAAAGGAAAGAACGCCTTAAAAGCCAAAAGGGACCAAGTCGAAAACTCCAATATAAAACGCAACTTATTTTTATCTTACAATACTATTAGAATGAGTTCCCTCGGGGAGGTACCACGCTTCCCAAATGGACCCAGCCCGCGTGTATGGTATTGACCCCTACAATCCACGTAGGGCGGAGCAGAACCCGTCCTCCCTACGGAAACAGTAAGAGTAAGCATCCAGGTAGCACTCAGCGAGTGCAATGCTTAGAGTAGAACTGCGCAGTGGCCAGGAAGGCCAGATGAAAGTCAGCCGGTTTGCTGAGAAGTGCTTTGAGGAAAGCTGTATGCCTCGGGAACGGTGCTCGCGGTGGAGTTCGTGGTCGTTATCCTTGGGCCAGGAGAATTTTTCGGGGTTATAAGTTTGGAGGGATTATTTGTCGTTGGTAGTTCTGCGCTGGCGGCGTTTGAGAGGCTTGTTCGTTGTTCTGATTTTGCTTTCGCCTGATGGAATACTTATCACTCTAGAGTAGTTAAGCCCAGTCTTTTTATAAGGCTGTGGGCTTGTGATGAGAGGCGTGATGGAACGACTGACTGCTCTACCATCCCCCCCCATGAATAAATGTCGAACCCAGTTTAGCTCCATAAATCGTAGAGCGGTGATTCTGAATGGCTCAAAGCCCTGTCAACTCTACTGCACAGACTAAATACTGGCTCAAAGATAATTTTCAAGGCTGAACGAATCCTTATACTACTACGTAGTAAGTTAATCGGTTCAAGACCTGGTGAGATGCCTGCAAAATTATACTTTCCACATGTATCCATTGGAAGGGGGGAGTATGCGTGCAAGAAAGACTTATTGCGTCAAGTAGTCATGGCTGTGCTGGGCTATGCTTTGCTGTGCTGTGCTGCGCTTTGCTGTGCTGTGCTTTTGGTAAGAGCTTCCTGCGTACTCTCCCCCACGAATATATGCTAAAGTATAATTTTGCAAGGGATCTTACCAGGGCTTAAACCAATCAACTTATAAGAATCCAGCCTTGAAAGGCATCTTTCAAGTTAGTATTTGGTCTATGCAATTGAGCTGATAAGGCTTTGAGCCATTCAGAAATCACCGCCTTACGATTTATAAAGCTAAACTGGGTCCGACATTTAAACATGGGGAGGAGGGAGGGGGAGGAGTATTTAGGTTTAGGTTCGGGTTTAGATTTAGGGTTATATTTGGGTTTAGATTTTGGTTTTAGATTCGGGTTTGACTTTAGTTGTGGTAAGATTAAGATTAAGAATATGGTTATAGTTATGATTATAGTTAAGAACTCATTTTTACAGTTAAGATGAAGGCAAAAAAAAACTCTGAATTTTGGAGAGGAGGGATGGGAGCAGAATGTTGGAGAAGAGAGATAAAGGAGATATATGGGATATAGAGGGGGGGATGGATGAGGGAAAAGGAGAATGGAAATGGGGGGATGGAAGGGAGAGGGATTAAGTGACTAAGCGATTGGGCGAGGGAGGAAGAGAGGAAGAAGGAGAGTAGGGTGGAAAGTATTGTTGCCTGCTTTGCTAGCAGTAAGTAGAAGCTGATTTGTTTGGGAGGATGCTGACGGAGAAGGTGCTTGGTTTGGAGTTATGGTTGTATGTATAGTCGTTGTATAAGGAAAGAGAGAAGGAGAGAGAGAGGCAACACAGAAGATATCGCTATGTCAATTACGGCCCAGAGGAAGGAGGGATGAACAGACGGACGGGCGATGCTTACGAGTTATTTTTAAGGGCAACGCTGTGTCGCTTTATTCTCACGAGTTTCTACGGGACTTTATTTCTGCTTTAAAATGTATTTTTTTAATGCAAAAGTTTCCTCTCTTTCCTCTTTCCCCCTTTCTTTTAATACGACCGAGTGTTCTCACTACTGCTTATTTGCAAATATATTCTAGTGTATCTTATTCTCTCGACTAAATTTAATTTACCATTGCCTCGTCGGCCGCGAAAGTAAAGCTAGCAAGCGTTATGCATAATATGCGCATAAGTTAGCTTAAAGATTAAGTGAAGTATATTTGATTAAACTTCAATATAAAACTATAAAGAGAAGTAAGGAAAGTCGTAGCTGCCATTGAAATATTACTTGAGTAAATGCTGTCCGCAACACTGCAATGCCGTAATGCTCTCAGAACATGAGTCTTTTCGTGATATAGAAGAAGGCTGAAAGCTTAAAGGCTGGGACGGATTACTTGGTATTTGTTACTTAAAGGTGAATAAATATAAATGAATAGATAGTATGGTATAGTAGGATATAGTATGGTCATAAGATTAAGAAAAATATAAGCCAAGCTAAGCTAAGCCAAGTGAATGATAGCTTATTAATAATAATAATCATTATTTTGAAACCTTTAAGCAATAAAATTTAGCAGTAAGCTATGCATACTGCTGAAAATTCCATTAGATAAGCTAAAGAAAAGGCTGCGGTGAGAAATAGTGGGAGTTGATCTCGATATTTTGGGGCCCTTTCCTACAGTGGGCGAGAAAAAAAAGTCTGGCGGAAAAAATGTGTCTGTTTTTTTCCATGCCAAAATCAGCTTAAAGATCACGAAAAATCGCGTGATGATCATTTTATTGTTCAAAAACTTAAAAACTAGTTAAGATATAGAAACAAAAGTTGGATAATTAATCGGTGTAATTCTGAGCTATCAACGCATCCCCTCTCCAAGATTAAATACCTATTGTCGCGATTTTTATTGCTCGAAACACCGATATTTTAAAAGGTTTTTGACCGATTTGATCGTCAGAAATTTCTAATACGTCAAATTCTACTTAACTTTTATCTTGAATAAAAATAATACACATATATATAACCTAGCGCGTTGTAGATCGATTTTATAAAGTGGCAATATTGTTATATATCAAAATATCAGGTTTTTTTTTTAATCAATCATCTTTTCATAAAACGAGTGATTTCATGAAAAAGTACGAAAACAGACACATTTCTTTCGTCGGACACAATTTTTTTCCCCACTTTGTAGGGAAGGGCTCTAAAAAGGTGAGGTCAACTAATACTATTAATAGAAAGTGAAAAAAGGAAACGAGCGAGTCCGTTTTGTTTTGTCTTGAAACGAACAGCCTGGCCGCAGCGGCGGCACTATAGAAACCCGTCGGATCTTGGCAGCGTTGAGTTGATCGACTTACGGCAGCATCCTTATTGAGTCTTTCAGTATTGAATTTTTTTATGGGGGAGGAGTAAGGGTAAAGGTAAATACGTCTTGCGTGTTTAGTCGTTGCAAGTGGTGTGAGGCGTATGTGGAGGGAGGCAAAACCGAAGATTAGAAGATGGCTGCCACCCGGAAAGGTGATCACCACGATCGAGTGCTACCACCATCATCTATCTGCGAACCTATCTTAATCTCTCGACGATATGTAATCTATCAATGCCACATCGGCCGCGAGAGGAAAGCCGACTAGCAGTCAGGCAGCAGGCAGGCAGGCAGGCATTAGCTTGGGGGTAGGTGAGCTATATTTGATTAAACTTTGATATGATGTGATAAGGGTAAGGAAGGAAAGTTGAAGCTGCTGCCGAATTATTGACTAGGTGAGTGAGTGCTCCTAGGACAGGAGTCTTGTGGCATAGAGGAGGGGGAGAAGCTTGAAAGCTGGGACAGATTACTTGGTATTCGTTACTTGGGGGTGGGGGAGAAAGAGAGGGGGAGAAAGGGGAGAGGAATGGAGGTAGAAATAGGTGGAGGAGCGATATGAATGAATGAATGGATGGTATGGTATAATATGGTATGAGATCAAGAAGAAGATGAGCTGAGATGAGCTGAGCTAAGTGAATGATGGCTTGATAATGATGATGATTGCTATCTTGAAAACTTTAAGGAATCCGTCCTGTCCTGTCCTGAAACTTGGCCGTGTCGGAATCACAAAAGCACGGATCTCGGCAGCATTGCGTCAGTCGACTGGCGTGGGCGGGTAAGTACGTACGCATACTATACATACATAGGTACATAACCAACAATTTTCCAATAGATCTGACACTCAGTATTGATTAATTTTTTGTTTTCATTCCGCTAAACCCTGGATGTGGAGCTCTTTTGCTGTAGGCCGTTTCGATCGAATAAGATTTCCCGGTAACGCATAGTTCCCGATTACGCATAGTTCCCGATAACGCATAGTTCAAAGTCATCAATCATTTCCCAGGAGTCGACTTCGTTGTGTACTTGAAGCTGTAAGCGAGGAGCAACATCCTTGAGCTCCCCTTTCCAACTGCGGCATGATAAATTACCCGAGTGGGTCCACGCCGCAAATATAAGCATTTTTAGGGCGAGCTCCGGATTTTAGACAGAGACCGGCCCTGCCCCTGAAAGAGGTACGGGATGATTTTGAGTCAATTAACGTACGTAGTACGTACTACGTACGTACTTAGTAAAAAGTCCCCGCCTCCTCCCCTGACTCATACTCCCTCCCAAAAATACATGTCGAAAGTATAATTTTGCAAGGGATCTTACCAGATCTTAAACCAATCAACTTACTACTACTTATAAGGACTGATTTAGCCTTGAAAAGTATATTTGAGCCAGTATTTAGTCTGTGCAATGGAGTTGACAGGGCTTTAAGCCATTCAGAAATCACCGCTCTACGATATATGGAGCTAAACTGGGTCCGACATTTATTCATGGGGAAGGATAGTACAATCAGCCTCAGAAAAATAGCCCGTGATGATTCTCAATCTACGACGACCCTCCGATGACATAATCTTCGAGGCCGATGGAATCCAGACCTTTTTTTTTTTTTTTTTTTTTTTTTCGATCGGGAAAGTAAATCAAGAGCTATTCTTGGGAGAGAACAGACTTCTTGATGATCGTCATGTAATCTGAACCTCAATCTTGGAGCGGACGCGCGCGACTCTGTGGCGGTTATCACCCCCGGCACTGCAGGCAGGAACGGAGGAACAACCGTTGAGGGTTTATCCCTTGTCGGTCGGACAAGGATATATGTGGCGATTTCTTACCTTGAGCTTGAGGCTTGATCAAGCACCACTATACTAGTAGTAAGCCTCCGGTTTCCTGAAACTATAATTTGATAAGCCGACTGATTGGCTAGATACTCGGTACAAAGCATCGATCCCAACTACGTGGTCTAGTATACTCGACACGATCTTGAGCCCCATACCACTGACCGGGGACGGTAATTAACTGCTCACGGCGACAAGCAGAAATCAACTTTTAATTCTTATATTCATGTCTTTGGTGAACTGGGCGGCGGGTATGGTTTCGAACGACGTCAATGCTTGGAGATGCTTGAATGACGCCGCGGGCAGAGCCAACAAAATCCACTCTATCTCGGCTCTAGCCCGAGAATACGGAGAGTGAGATAGATCCACGAGTAGAGATAGATCAGGAGAAGAAAGCATGTTTTAACGTGTTGTCAAAGGAGAATTTTTTGGGTTTCGATAAAGTAGAAGATCTTCATCCACCACACCCGGATCGAGTTGAACCCTATGGCCTAGATTCTTTTCGGGGGCGACAGTACTATGGGACGAAAGATCCGAAGAGACCGCACACGATTCACGATCGGTTTGATGTGTCAAGAATTAGATGAACTCTGACTTGGCGCCAAGAGTATTTTTTGCCGGACTCTGAAACAAGAGGTGCAAGCCTTTGCCAAAGTGCTGCGCTCTCTTGCTGTATCTTGCTGTATCTTGTTAATAAGAAATTGATTTAAAGAAAACGGATCGGGTGGGGGAGCGGGACGTCGACGTATTCCCGGCATGACGACTCTCTACTCTACTCGAGTACATCTATCTCTTTGAGACCTCCACGTCATGCCATGTCCGATACAAATACACCCTTCGGTCCTCCTCTAAACTATTCTCTCCATCTCATCATTCAAATACTTTATTCCGCTCATTGCGACAGATATCTTTTCAAAATATTCGACTTTGCTGAGCAGACGTCTTTTTTTTCACATCAACATTGCCCTCGAAAAACCTTCACGTTCTATCACTTTCAGATCACTCTTCAACCGACAACATGAAGTTCTACGCCGTCCAAGTCGCTGCTATGGCATTTGGCCTCGGCGTTTCTGCTTCTCCATCGCTCGCCTGCCGCAATTACAACCAGAACCCAGCTCCGGAAGTGCAACCGACTCAAGCCCCTGCCTACCCAATGGGACCTGCCGTCCCAACTGGATACCAGCCCAACGTCAAGATTGAGGCGACCGAGAAGCCCGAGAAGGCCATGGAGGAAAAGAAGCCAAAGAAGACCAAGACCAAGACCAAGACCAAGAAGGTGAAGACGACCAAGACGAAGAAGCCCAAGGCGGCTAAGGGTGAGTTTCTTTTGCTTGTGATTTGAAGATCATGGACGCTAATATGTCGAACAGCCACCAAAGTATCTGCCAGCGGAGGTGAAGAAGCTCCCCAGGAGACTCCAAAGGAGGGTGGGAATCCAAAAGCTCCCAAGGAGGGTGGAGCACCAGAAGGTTCTTACCCCACGACTCCCAAGGAGACTCAAAAGGAGGGTGGGAAACCAAAAGCTCCCAAGGAGACTCCCAAGGAGGGTGGAGCACCAGAAGGTCCTTACCCCACGGCTTCGCCTACCACTGGGGGCGGTTACGGCGGGTCCAAAGGATCCGGTGGTGGTGTCCCAGATCATGTTGGAAGTACTGTCCTCGACGCTGTTCAGACCATTGCTGCCGGGGCTAGCTTCGACGGTCAGATGGGCATGTACGACCGTGGTGTCTCCTGCACCGGACAAGTCGAAGGTGCAGGAAGCGATGCCGTTTTCAACATTGAAGCCGGTGGATCTCTCTCGAACGTTATCATCGGACCCAACCAAATCGAAGGCATTCATTGCCAGGGTGGTTGCACTATTACCAACGTCTGGTGGACTGCCGTTTGCGAGGATGCTTTCTCCATCAAGGTCCAACAGGCTAGCGAGACGACAAAGATCATTGGCGGTGGTGCTTTCGGCGCTACTGACAAGGTTGTTCAACACAACGGCGCCGGGACTGTCGATATCTCTGGCTTCACTGTTGGCTCTTTCGGAAAACTCTACCGTTCTTGCGGTAACTGCAAGACCTCGTTCGAGCGCCACGTCATCATGACCGACATCACTGCATCCGACGGAGAAATGCTCGCTGGTATCAACTCTAACGTAAGCTCCTGAACTTCCTCTCTGCGTCGATCATAGTAGCTAATATTCATTTAAACAGTTCGGAGACACCGCAAAGATCACCAACTCCAAGACATCCGGCGTCCAAGATATCTGCGTCACTTTCCAGGGTGTTTCTAAGGGCAGCGAGCCGACCATTATCGGTTCTGGATCCGATGGAACCAACTGTGTCTACGGCGCCGATGTCGAAGCTGCTTAAGCTTTCCTGTGATTGGGTCGTACACTATACGCCAGGCAGGCACCTTTTCTACTTCTCACTGGACTTGAGAATTGAATTCCCTGCATGGCCTGCTTTCTTTTTTGCGAACTGGTTTCAATTTTTGTACATAAGATTTTTCTTTGCTTCTCTGGTCTCTTACTCGCAGCTCGAGCTTCATTTCCCTTGTCGAGCTGTCTCACGGCGAACACGTTCCAAAAAAAATTCATTAAATATAAAATTTCAGGTTTCAAAATCTGACATATTCAAATTATTTCTGCCTTGAATATTCTATCAGTAGCTAGCTTACCTATGTAGGGTGGCTGATCAGCATCTCGCTTAGTTCCCGTGACGGGGCGGATCAAGACATTTACTTAACAAGCGCGAAGACTCGAACTGGAGTCTTGATCCCTCGAGTTCCTCCTTCCACTCAATTCCTGATTCGATAATTTTTTCACCTGCTGCCTAAACGGGTCAGGTATGAAATCACAAGCTTCTGGTCTCGAAAGCTATATGGGTGGTCTGCGTCCATGCGTATCCATACACATCTCAACATCCTCGCCTATTTCAGGGGCCAGCGCAGAAGCGACCGACAAAAACAACTCCGAAAACGCCAAACGTAAAGAGTCATGGCGCTCCTTTCCGACACCGCATACATACCTAGTCTGTTTCCCTTCTCCAGCATATCCATCATCGCAAGCGGCCAATGATTTTTTTTTTTTTTTGGAGCTCCATCATTCAGCATAGCGGTGGGAAATGATGCATAATGCTGCTGCTGCATCGGTTGGTTAGGCATGAATTCAAAAGGACCAAAGGCATTTAATCTGATGCGGAGGTTGCCGCATTAGTATTGTATCGGCGCCTTATTTTCGGCAAAAGACTCGGTTATTGATTGGGTTGGGTTTCGTCCGATCTTGAATAAAATGACGACGGAGTTAGCTATATCCGAAATCGAAATGGAAAGAGCGCGCAGACCTCGTAGCGACCTCGTCCCGTGTTTCTCCTAAATAAGATAAGCGATGACCTATAAAAAACACAGTAGCCGTTATGACTACAGGTGGTAGTGGCGCAGGCTCGGCAAATCGTGACCGGGAGAGTTTGAGTAGGTAGTCAGACATGCAGTCCCGGTCCACTTCTCATCCGAAGTCTAGTCTGAACAAGCTCCCCTTCACGTGACTGGAGCCCCAAACTCAAACCCCACGCTGAAAATAATATGCGAAAAGCCAACCTAATGCCAGCCTCGTCCAACGTCCCGCAAATATTATCACGATGCCGCTCTTCGCACTCCCTCTCACGTCGTCTTCTTTGACGCGGTTCTCGAAGCCCAAGACCGCTCGAGTAAATTTCACGTCTCTTCCTGTGCGGAAACGCAAACGTTCGCACTCGTCCCCGCATTCGAGCGACGACGACGAGAATTTTTCCACGGACGGACAGAGTAGCGTCACAACCTCCACCAACCCGTTCAGTCTTACGCCGGCAGAGATCGTGCAGTATAGGCTGGCTGGCTTGGAGCTGAATGAGCAGCTGCCTGATGTGAAAGCGTTTCCGCATCGTGGCTTACCGAGGACAGCGGGGTCGCACGACACTTCTGCGAGGGGAAAGGCAAGCCGAAGGAGGAGCCGGCTTAATGATGATGAGGAAGAGGAGGAGGAGGAAGATATATGGCCAGAATTGAAAGAGGAAGAGGAAGATAAGGATGCAGTCGAGAGGCCGAGTCGTGGACCTTGGTTGAGGAACCAGCATCTTAGTGTTCTGACGACGATCCTACATCGGTGCCTGCAGGAGGGCGACATTAAGAGGGCAAGTAGGGCTTGGGCGATGCTACTGAGGGTACAGATATCTGGGAAGGAGATTGACGTGCGGTCGAATGGCTACTGGGAGATTGGAGCTGCGTTGCTGATGCGGTCTCTGGATAAGAAAAAGAAATACTCATACGATGATGCAGAGAGCGATGCTGAGGATTTTGCAGAGCAAGTCAAAGACGAGGGCAGAGAGAGCAGATGGGGTACTAAGGAAGGCCTGGAGCAAGCTAGTGAGTATTACCATCGAATGATACTCGAGTTTCCTCATAGGAAGTTTTTCCGTGGTCATGCCACTGCAGTCGATTTCTGGCCTGCGATGGTGGGCTGTGAGTTATACGGGATCCAGTACGAATATGAAGATGGCCTACGAAGGGTCGAAAAGCAAAAAGCAATAGATGACGAAGAGGATGGAAGCGGGGACGAGAGTCAAGAGAGCGGGGACGAAAGTCAAAGTCTAGAAAGCGAGGACGGGGGAGAAGACCCCGAAGATGATTCATTCACGATAAACCAGCGGAGAAAAGAGAGAACGCCGCGCAAAAGAGCGGAAAAGAGGTGGGCAGAGAGAGAGGACGTCCGCAAGGCTGCGTTGGCGGCGTCCAAAGCCATCGCAGCAAAACTCGACCATCTTGTGGATGATCAGTTGTATTTAACGAGCCACAACATCCTCAGGCTTAGAGGTATGCTAGCTCTTTATATTGGGGATCTCAGCGTACCAGCGATGCCCCTCCCATACGATGACGAGGACCAGAACGGGAATTCGCTTCGCAGGAGCGGAAGACGCGGAGGTTTGGTTGAGTCTTCAGAGCGACGACTTCAATTCCGTGAGCGGATCGCCGAGCATGACCGTGGAAAGAAGAAGCAAGCCGATGAGCACGATAGGGCTGCCAAATTATTTGATAAGATATCCGGGAATAGTGGAGAGGACGAAGATGTTCAGCATCTCGCTTTGGAGACGGTCCGGAAAGAACGACAAAGATGAGGAAGAGGTCCCTATTGACGGCGGAGTGTAATGAATTCGGAGATCATGCCTTGCTTATACACTATGAATAGGAATCAGGTAATCCGGACGGTTGTGCTTCTTGATCCATATTCTTTATATCTACTCCTCCTTTAGCCTGTTGAAATCAATACCATACAGCGTGGTGGACTAATCATCTCTCGCTAAGTCTCTTCAAGGCCTCTTCCTCGAATGACAAATTGATATAACACAGAAAGAGCAGACCTGCATCTCAACTGCAAATTCCAATAAGACTCCCCCAATTTCGAGCCTTCCTCAAGCAAGTATGGCAAGAGCCATCCTTCGAGCCCTTTATATAATCTGTCAAACGCCCACATCTTCGTGTCTCTCCAAACTCTTCCACCAAACACACAGCCACAACGATGACCGATACCGCCACGATAAAACCAAATGACGCCGAGATGAAGAAATCACGCGCAATGTCTGGCCGGAGATCAGACGGGCCTGCGGGCTCGTCGAGCCGTCGCTTGCCTCACCACTACAATGCCAATCCTCAAGGCAATCCTCACAATCACCCGAATCTCCATCGGATATACACCGGTATCCAGCCAGCAGGAGAGAGTGGCAGATCTGGCATCAATGCCCAGATGTTCTTCAAGATCTGTTGGCGCTCCACCAGCAGAGCATCTCGAATCTGCAACATCTTCTGGCCCGTCGTTCCAGCAGCCATTGCAGTCGGCCACCTGCGGCCCGACCTTGGCCTCGTTGTCTTCATCCTCAATTACATCGCCATGATCCCTTGTGCTAACTTGATTGGCTTCGCTGGTCAGGAGCTAGCTAGAAAGCTACACAAGGTCTTTGGCGTCTTGCTCGAGACAACCCTGGGGTCGGTCGTTGAAATCGTCCTGTTCATGGTCCTGCTCAAGACCGACCAATTCGCCGTTATCCAGGCTGCCATCCTTGGATCAGTCTTAGCTACTCAGCTCCTTTGTCTTGGTATGTGTTTCGTGGTTGGTGGGCTTCGCCACAACGAGTTGAACTTCAGCGAGGTTGTTGGTGAAGTGGGAAGCGACTTGCTGTTGACTGCGTGTGTCCAACCTTCCTGAAAAATGGTCACCATGCTGATGATTTTCAGCGGGTTTGGTCTAATTGTCCCTGCTGCATTTCACACTGCCGTTTCTAATGATGGCCGCACTTCACCGGAGGAAGTTTCAGACAAAGTCCTCCACATATCACGGATCTCGTCCATTCTCCTGATCATCGCCTATGTCGTCTACACCTACTTTCAAATCCGTACCCATGAGAGTATTTACGATGCGATTTTCGAGGAAGACGAGCACATGCCTGACCATCATGAAGACGGCACAAAGAAAAAGCTGACCTTCACTGAGTGCATCCTTGCTCTTACCGTTGCCATCACACTGGTGTCGCTTATCGCCATAGCCTTGGTTGAAAAGATCGAGTTCATTGTTCATACCCGAGGCATATCGGACAGCTTCATAGGTCTTATCCTCGTCCCACTGGTTGAAAAGTTTTCAGAGCATCTCGGTGCCATCGACGAAGCTTGGGACAATCAAATGAATATGGCACTTGCACATGTTCTCGGCGCAACCATCCAGACTTCTCTCTTCAATGGCCCCCTCGTTGTTCTCGTCGGATGGGCATTGGACAAGCGCATGGATTTGAATTTCGACCTGTTCAACATCATTGTTCTGATTCTGGGTATCCTGGTGGTTGGTAACTTCCTAAGAGACCAGAAGTCCAACTACCTCGAAGGATCTCTTTGCGTTATAGTTTATGTTAACATCGCTATTGCCGCGTATTTTTACCCCAATCCTCTTCCTCAAGGTCACAGTGGATACCTAGGAGGTGCGGCTTTCGATTCGAATTCTCAAACGGTTCTTGGTATGTGATTACTAGAAAATTTATGTGAGGAACAGCTCGAGGGGCCATTTTGATAGCAGCATCAGGTATTGCTTTTGTCAGGAGATGATTTACTTTTTGGGGGCAGGTATGTCTTGGAATTCCCTTGTGAATTTTGGCGGAACTAGAAAAAGTTTCAGTTGTAGTCGCATTTATAGCGATGGGACTAACAGAAATAAATTAATGTGTATAGCAACTTGTAAGACTACATCCATTGATGTCTCGGTAGACTATAGCAGAATGGAAACTTGTTTACCGTTCCTATGGAAAGAACCTTTTCTAATATACAGATGCAAGGCAAATTGCCCGGAAAGCCGAAAACAAATCGAAGACAAAGATGAGGAGAGATAGCACAATATCTCCCCGTATAAATGAAACTGCCTTACTACCAGAGCGTAGAACAGGCAGCAAAGCCCCTTGTCCATCCAGTCGATGATGGTAAGTACCTGCCCACGCGCTCTTGCTGTGTCTGGTGTATCAAGTCTGCGTGATCCCCTCTCGGTCCCTCTCAGGCAGTATGTGTTTTTCTCTAAAAAAAAAGAAGGAAATTTTTAGAAATGGAAAAGACTGAGAGATGAATTGAAATGAGATGAAATGAAATACATTTGAAGGAGGAGAAGAAGAAGAAAGAAAGAAAGAAAAAGAGAAAGAAAGAAAATAAATAACTGGTATAATTCGACAGCTTGAGAGATTGAGAGCACGGGGACGTTAGGACGTTTGGGGGATACGGGACGGGAAAGCTAGCTAGCGGCCTCTGATTTCTCGAGGTTGGACTTGCGGGGGGTTGGGTATGTGGATGAGACGGAAGGTGGGGGGGGGCGCCACGCATCTGGCAGATGTTGTGGAAAAAGAAAACGAAAAACGAAAAATAGAACGATTTTGTTTTTCTGCTCCAGTGAGTCGGCGTGGACCTAGGTAAGAAGACAATGCGGTGCACTGCTGTGAGGCTTTATCTCCCCCCTTCCCTTCCGAAGGCGAAGGCAGGAGATTTTTCTGTGGGTTTGGATTCGGGAGTGCTCTGGCTAGCTAGCTAGCTGGGTTGGCGTTTGGCCGAGGGGGCTGGGCAAGGAAGTAAGTAAGTAAGTAAGTAGGTAAATAAGTAGGTGAGAGAGGGAGGGGATTGTGATACTGCCTGACGGATAGGATACAGCTGAGTGCAGGCAATAGATATTTAGGAGGGGAGAACTTCGTGACTAGCTGGGCTTTCCGTCTTAGGACAGACGGGTTTGCAGCAGGCAGCTGCATGAGATCTTGGGCGAAGGGCTAAGCGAAATGCCAAAACACTTGTATAGGGAACATTTGAATTTTGTTAACGTCTATCTGCACTATGGTATTGGATACGGGAATTGATTGCAAAGGCATCATAGAATATAAATGCATGTTCCTCCGTAATAGATTTACCTTATGCTAATCTAGGAAAACTTATCGCGCTTAGGCGATGTTTTTCCGTCATCTTCGGCGCAACTGACTTACATTCCCTGGTCTTTGTGCTTCCTAATCAATCCGACTGCTTGATGAGTATGATGGTTCTCAAACTATATACGACTCCGAAATACTCTTAAATGATCCCCCCCCCAAAAAAACTCCAAATATTTCTACAATGATTCAGCAAGACAAAACGGGGCCCATGGTATCCAAGCAACGCCCAAGACCTAATACCCAAGACCCAAACGGGACACCCTACTTGAGATGGCCGCAACCATATCCCTCAAGTGCTTTGAAGTCCGCCGCTACCCCTCTCATGCGTAGTATTGGTCATCGACGTACTTGACCTGGAACAGATGCTTTTCGTTCATTTCTCCGACCTTGATCCAGAAGCAGCGGATGGCCATGCGCGAGCCACCCTTGATCGAGTCAAACTCAAGCTGAACGGTCTTCTCCCCGCCGCTGGGCTCTATATATTCAAGGGCGTCGACAAGCGTGAACTTCATCTTGGTATGCAAGTAATCGATAATCATCTGACCATCCATCGTAGCTGGGCCGGTAATCTCGAAGCGACGCTATTTGACATGTGTCAGAAATTGTATTTGTGCTATGGTGCTTCCAAAGAGGATTTTGCGAGCAAGATGGGATAGGGGGATCGGGTGTACATACGGTCTGGAAGAACTTGCTTGGCTGAACGGGGCGTGCTTTATCTCTGCTCTCGCTTACGGCAAGTCTCAGACCACGGATCCAGACCCCGGACGTTCTACATCTCAGTAGAAAGTTCTTGGCAGCCTGGGGCTCCTTGAAGGTTAGAGAGACGGCAGCGGTCCAGCATGAGCGGGAACCATCGTCGAAAGGAGCCTTCCACACGCTGTTGCAGATGGGGCCCTCAGAGACGGCCGAAAATACTTCCTTCTTTGATGTTTTCGGGTGTATGTTAGAGATGAAGACGCTGCAGTTGTAGGCCTCTGGGCAGAGCGCGTTCTCCAGGTGGCTTTGGTCGATATCACCCCGGTAGTGTGTGAGATCTGGGTCGATTCCAGCATCTAGGGCACGCCTTCTCATATCTTGACTTATCGGTCGTGGTTGGTCCATAAGGGCAAAAGAAGGTGCGAATGCCTCATGTTGGTAGAGCTTCGTTTTGTCTGATGGTTCAGTAGTCGTGTTGATCGAAGAGTATGAGGTATTACGAGTTGGGCGTGTGATTCGGTCATCGGAGAAGGTAGAGGATATGATTCGGCTGGATGCCGAAGATGATTCTCCATCGCCCTCATGGAGCCATCTGAGAGGAACATCGCCGTTGAACATGAAGTAGGGTGTTCCATCAATGATGTAATCGGGCTGGAGGTTCGGAAAGTGCACACTCATTCCCTTCCATGCTGTTTTAGACCGTTAGCAATTGAACGAGCTGAGTCTATGGACCCTTCCTTACCACCAGTATTCTTCAGAAAGTCGACGTATTTTCCAAGTCGGCATCTCTCATCCTCGTCACAAATGCGATGATGCTCTTCGATGACTTGAGAATGTTAATACGAGGGCGCGCTGATAGCACCCTGAAGCACTCACCTCCGTTTCTCATACCCAGTGGTACATATCGTATCTTGAACTCGAGGGTACTCTTCTCCTTAGGCCAGAATGCTGGATCATACATTCCCAGGAGAGCGGAGGGGTTGCGGATCAAGACTTCGATGTTTCGCGCTTCATAATGGTCAGTATCAGTAGTAGGTACTGGTATTCTCAAACAGCTTACTATCATAGAGATCGATACTCTCAATACTAGCAACGGGATCAAAGCGTGAGGCGGGTTGAGTCGATGGCATAGTAGCGAGCGCAAGGCCTGAGGGTATCAGCTGCTGAGATCTGGAGCTGCGCGACATGGGTGCAAGTTGTTCTGGTACTCGAGTATGAAGGTCGTACTGTACCGAGCTTCGCGATCTCTGCGATGCACGATGTATCGATTTCGTTACTTCGAGAAAAGTCCTTCCTCGAACAAGGCGCGTCGCGTTAATATGTGGAAGCCTCTGGCTCGCTTAATCTTGGCACTAGTGCCTGGGTCGACCGCTAAAGTCACCAAGTCAATAGGTTGACATAGCCTATTTACCACCTTGCTACCCCGCCGCAACTCTTCCGCCTTCATTCTCATTCAATTCGATATGCCGCAGATACTTTGGTGGTATATTATACTCCACTGACAGAGCCGCTTTGCAATAGGAAAATGTATCATTCAAACGCCGCGACAACAAGCCCCCAGTCGAGAGCATTGGAAAAGGCGCGAAGATTCCTGGTGGAACTCTCCAAGGCAACACTTAAAATCCAAACTCAATTCAAGAATACCTGTTGCTGGATTGATAGGTCGCTGGCAAAGTAACTCGGAGATCATGCAGCACAGCGCAGCTTACGGAATCTTTTCCAATATACCGGTTTGTTTATATATTTCTTCCGGCGCCTATCTCAGTGTCCAGCCAGCTTTCAATACTATTCAACAAAGTTGCAAAACAATAGTAACGTTAGATCCAATAGTCCTGCTTTTAGGCTCTATATGTTACGAAATGGTTACTATTTACCACATTTGACACGGTAAAAGATAACTAAGCTTCCAGTACACAGCACATTATTGATTGTGGCCCTCTATATAGTCTGTCTACAGCTCTATCACGCCCTATCATTACTTGAACTACGGGCGGAATCCTGGCAACTGGGCACGATGCTGATCGGAACCTATTGGTCCTCTGGGTTTGGGACATTATTGGAAGCTAGAGGCCTCGATCCCGTGCAAGCACAACGCATGGAAGAGCGCAAAAAGGCTGGAGATCATGTTTGAAAATTCATGCATGAAAAAAGATGATCTGGTTACGCTGATGCTAATACAGAGACTTTCTCAATATTCCGCTTGAACAATAAAGACATGAATGATTCATCATGACTTCGAGCCCGCCAGCAAAGTACCGATACAGTTACGAACTCGTCAATCTCCACAAGGATCTGGCGCGAATTTGACGGTAATCTGACCTAAATCTCCGTGATCAACAATATGACCAGCGTAGAGGCGGTATGCTTCTCTCGATCCTCCAATAATTTCCCTACACAACAGTCAGCGATTTCTTTCGTTATGTAGCTTCGGTTTTCGGCACATACAAGAAGTGAAACTGGACCTTCTTTCTATCTCCAATAACCTTTTGCTGCGGATACAAGAATTTGAATTCGTATTCAGAGAACAAACGCCTGATCTTGTTGCCATCTACCATATGAGCAGGGCCTTCAATCTCCAGAACCCGGGTCTGGTGCAAGAGCTCCGTTGGCCAGGGGTATGTCTTCATTTCTGCTGGCCTAACCTCGGCCTGTTTCCCACCAATCACAATACCCATATTGCCGCGTTTGAGAAATTCGACTGCACTCTGACGCTTCTTGAAAATTACGTAGGCGACGTGAGAAGTTCGCTCTGGAGGGTGGGCTAGCTTCAGCCCGAGGAACACAAGTCCTCCTTCGTGAATGGAGTCGATAATGTCACTTGTGAACACTTTTTCAGGCAAGTTGGATATTTTCACTTGGCAGTTGAGATTCTCAGGACAGCCTCTGACGAGTCTGATCTTAGAGGCCCTCACCTCATCATAGAATTCGGGACCTAGCCCAATTCCTGCTTCTTCTTGCATGCGCGCGACCTGTGGAGAGCTGGAATTTGGGCTTAATTGTAACCCCTCCTCAGGTTGCGGCAGGACAGTTTGGCTAAGCACCGAGCTACTTAAAGTGCTGGATGAAGGACATGACCCAAAAGGATTTAATAAAGTTGAACACTCTGAGTTGACCAGTGATGTTGCAGGAGAGTGGAAATCAAATATTTGAAAGGCAGGTGGCGCAGTATCTCTTTTTGTTCTCCATTGCAAGGGTCGATCGTAGCCCGTCCTAGGTGGACTTGAACAGCCCATTGGGTACGTATCGTCGACTTTGAGATTCGGGAAACAGATGGCAAATCCAGACCACACTGTATAGAAATTCAGCGAAATAAACTCTGGTAAAGCACGAGCACTCACACCCATTTTGCCAAAGTTGGTCAATGGCAATTGCCAACCTACGCCTTTCTTCTTTCCCGTCGAATCGTGCCTCTTCACTTTCCATAAAGATAAACTTGTCATGTCTGGACAAGCTAGTTGCGTCCACTTTGTCTCGATATTCGGACAGTTCGTTGAGGCGCCTCTGATACCCGTTTATCTCCCAGGGGGGCCAAGGTTGACGGACAAAACTTTCTAGGACTGCTTGACGAGTAAGAAAACGTACCCAGCAAGTATTTTTGTATACATCACGAAGTCACTCATGGTCAGAAAATAGGGAGTGGAGCTCTTGTAGAACAATGCTTACTAGCCGCTTCGCTGGAGTTGATCTTGTACACTTCACCAGGTCTCTTGCCTTCTGCCTTGAGGATCAACATGGCTTCGATTGTTTCCGGCTACGGCATTCGTAAGAAACTCGCAGCACAGTACTCTGAGGAGGAGACAGATCCGACGATTTGCAGAATCGAAGCAGCGGGAATGCAGGTCGGAAGTGCCCCGAGGTGATTCAGGTTCGGGCAGGGAGCGGGCAGGCGACTATCTGTTTATAATGAATACAAGCTCGCACAAGTATAATATGGACATGCGCTTATTGAAGAAAATAAAGATTGGAGAACGATTGAAATTTCGAGTCTCTTGCAGTGGCTCACTGACTGAGAAGGTTACGGTTGCATGCAGATGATTGACTGGGAAAGGCTTGCTTGCGTAAAGGAAGTGGCGAGTCTTCCACTCGCGGCTTCCACCCTAAACCCTGTCTAAACGATGTAAATCTGATCACCTGGTAATAGCTATCGTTGTATCGAAGAAAATCCTTGGGCCGAGCAGATAGCATGCGTTCAGTGAAAGTCAACCACTGCCCGGCTACCAGCTGTCGATCTGAGCGTTGGGTGGCAGAGTTTAATGCAGTGCACATCGAGCACCTACTTCTTGATGATTTATAATTTGATATTCCACTCGGTCCGCCAAAATAGATCTGCCGCTGGTCGAAGTAGAGCATTTGAGCGTTTTCAGGGCTGAAGAGAAGCTCGCGTTTAAACCTTGGCCTGGGGAGATTCTCAGCCATTCTTTCGTCGACAGCAACATTTCGAGGAGTAGTGATGTGTATGATAAGATTGAGAATTACAGTCGCACACATAAGCGGAATCTCCACCATCTTTCAACTCGTTCAGTTTAAGCTTTGCAGTCCAATGTCAGTTTATGGACACGGCAAATTGGGGGTCCCTATATCGCATAAGTGATTTCATGGATAGGATTAGCGATGATTCGGTTCACAGTCAACGCATTCGAGTTGCGACTCGGCTAAAATGTACCGATGAAGGCAGCTCGAAACTTATAGTACCGGCGAGATCGGTCCGTGGGAGCGCAAGATTAATATACCAAAAATCGAAATCTCGTATTTGCAGGAATGCCTCACCATTCATTGGATTGCTATCTCAACTGCCCCTTTCTGGTGTGGAGCAAATCAAGTGATCGATCCGACTTGAGATTATCCCAATGAGATTTCCAGTGCCAGTCATTAGTAAATGTTGGGAAAGAAATATAAAATGCTGGGTTATTCTCCTTTATAATGGTAGCTGCTACAGGGCTCCAGGGCATACCAGCTGATTCTCTGTTCAGACTAGGCCGGATGCCAAGGTTGCAGGCGAGATGATATTCAACGACACTCCTCAAAATCGAAGTTTGTCAAGTCAATCAGCTTGACTGTGTGCTATATTTCTTCAGAGTTTGTTTCTTAGAGTCACGGATGCATGAAATACGAGGCATTTTTTCTCTTAATTCAAACCTTTTTGAGTCCTTCGCTCAGCAAGTAAGTGCTTCGGACTTTGTTTTTGTTAGAATATTGGAATGCCGCCTATATTCCATTGTATGGACTAGCCTCTCGGCTGTTCCCTTAGGTACACCTGTACTATAGCTCTCAGTAGTCTCACACCTAATCTACTACACCTTCTGCACTCCTGATTCTATGAGTTTTTCCTTTGAATCAAGTGGAACTTGTATTGTAAGCGGGACACCAGGCTGCTATGATGGATTATTGAAAGCTTTTATGACGGCTCTTTTTCTGCTACGGCCTGAAAATAGAATTATACTGATAGAATCTAGAAGAGAAGTAAAAAAGTATAGAGTCTAAGGTCTCGAGAGGTAGGAGATATAAAGACTGGAACAAGGAGCTGAGTACCTAATTAGCGCTATTCCAGATTCTAATACATATTCCCGAATTACAACTATCCATCGACGAGCTAAGTCTTGAGTCTTTGGGGTGACTTCTTGGATCTTTACTCCAGTACTTTTGTGCATATCAAGTTACCACGGGCTAAGACCCTCCTGACTCCATAGCCGAAGGTTGTCTAGAAGGTGACCTGTCCAAATCCCAATTATGTAACATGATCAATCAATTCTCTTTCATTTCGATACAGCTTGCTGCTGAAAATCGAAGGGGCTTTACAAACCCCAAAAATTATTTGGGTTCAGAAATCTCCGTCATATCATCCAATATCCCAAATTCAAGAACAACATCCCTGGTCCTGAGCCAGTATCTCAAGGAAAAAAGGTGGATACAGCCCCAAACGTCTCAGAACAGACGCAATGCATGCTGCTCCAAAGCCCGCGCTGCCCGACTTCCACATGGATCAAGACCATATGATGGTTGAACGAATCCGACGAACTCTTCTTGTGCTCGAATGGCTCCCATACAAGCTTGAGACTGACCGGACATCCGAACAAAATTGAACTGCAAGATCTTTCTGTGGGGATTCTGGCAAGGCAGCTCGAAAACGCGGTCCCATTGGAAAACACAAATCTTGCGGAAGTACTCGTACCAAAATGCCATTGTCGTCATCTCTCCAGGGCCGACGATGTCGAGTACCAGAACACGGGACTGGCCAGAATTGTTGCGAAGGGATCCGTCTCGGTTGTACTTCAAGAAGAGTCTAAATTCAAGTATATAAATGCCTTGCTCGGCCTTGCTCTTGAAGGCAGCGGCCGCCTCTGGAGTCATAAATGCCAATTTTGCAGCGGCAGTGCTATGCTGGGAATCCGGAGGCACCTTTAGGAGACGGGGCAGTCAGTAAGTGTCCATCTAAGAACGTGTCGAGAAGGGGAGAAGAGACATCTTCAGGTTTGTTGGGAAAAGTAGGAAGAATCAGGGAGAGATCAATGGCCCTATTGCCTACCATATGCAGGCATTGAACAGCTCCGGTGTCAATTTGGTCAAAGAGCTCGGAAACGTGGATCGTTGAAGGAATGTTCCACTTGCACGAAGGTTAGCCTCAGCATCCAGGATATTAATAATCCTGAAGATACCTCGGGCCAAGCCCCCAGATACCAGGAAGGAAAGATAGAAGTAACAACTTACAAGCCACAGGGTACAGTTATATGCATCTGCTAGGAGAGCAACCTGTTTTTGGCTGACACAAGAGGTTATGTTACCTCGGTATCTGAGTGAAATATCAGAACTCCCTGCAAAAGGATTCACACCATTCTGCCCAGCAACCATGTTTGTCGGCTTGAAATTACGAGGGCTGGGTGGCCGGACAGCCATCGAGCCTGCAGGATGTAATGAGATGCCGCCTTCTTGTAGAGCGAATGATGGAGTTGCGTCTGAACGAAGAAACGGGCCTGCACTCGGTTCAATTATGGACTGTTGTTGGCTCCATGAATCTGGTGAAGTGAAGCCTTGGAATGGCGCACAATCATGACTTGTCATTGGTGGAGATGTCCAGTCGGTCAAAATTCCATCTGCGACAACTCTTTGGTACCCATCGAGAAATAGTGGGGGGCTTCTTGAAGGTAAGTTCCGCGCCTCTCCTGGGAAATTGAATCCACGATAGCCCGATGGAAGAGCACTTGTGCCATCTCGGAGGCTGGCGATGAGACTCCTAGAAGCTGCACTCGACGTGCTGCTACCGGATGCATGAATGGTCGGTTTGACCTTCAGCGGTGACCCAATAGGACCGAAGTCTGGGAAAGGTTGATAGGGAAGACCTGTATGGCTGATAAGTGGATCGTGGTATCCTGTATGAGCAAATTCATCAATCAAACGAAGTGGAGCTTGCGGGTACACCTGGGTGTTGGTGGCCAAGGTATAGGGAGCCCGATGCGAATCCCGCGAGTTTTGATATAATTCGTCTTCCTGACGGAGCTCCTTGCCTTGTATTTGGGTTCGAAGCCGTAAATCATCGGATTCGCTCTGCTGGACGTCACTGGCCAAGCCATCGAGGGGACTTGGGGCATATCGGTGCTTGTAATCTTGAAATGCGATCCAGAACAGGGCATCGGCTGCCTCCTCATCTGAGGCTGCATTTGTCTTCGAGACATTCATCGTGTTTTGTCGTGGTTTTGATGTCGATAGTGCAGTCGTTCGGTCCAAAGTACCAAATTTGAGGATGGGCCGACAGTAGCTGATAGTTATGTAAAAGATGCAACCCGTATAAATAGGCTATCCGAGACTTCTAGCCTTGGATCAGAAACGGATCGAGGTGAGGTCAAACGATCAGGCATTGACACTGATGATACGAGGCTCTACCAGCTTTGCCCCTTTGTTTTCTTGGATTCCAAGGGCCGAGAAAGACGGAAAAATCGAGAAAACGCTTCAGGTGAGGAGATGGGTCTCGGCCATTCGAAAAGGTTGGCAGAAAATACGGAAGGAATCTCATCAAGGACATTTTAGGGGGACCTACCAAGGTCTACACCCGCTCTAGCGGCACCGAGACAAATCCAAAGCGCGCTTTCGATGAATGTTAGTCTGCTTCGACTCTCCAGGGCAGCTCTTGCTCTGACCTAGAAGTTCCGAGTATGAAATGTTGGAGAGATAGTATGATGTCCGAGTTGGGTGAAACTGACCAGTTGCTAGTCGGATTTCTTTCATATTCGAGATGCATCTAAAAAAAATCTGGGGCCAGAACCCGCAGATTAGAGACCGACCAGGTTTAAACAAACTGTCTTTCAATCGTCACGGCCGCTGCTGTTTTATTTTTAATCACGTTTAAAGTTTTGTCAGCATGAAATGCACGTGTATATATCTTTCCAATGATAACTTCCCCCAGACTAGTTTCTGCGCAGAATTTTTATCTTACATAAGCTGATCTCAGTACCTATTTCGGATATACTTGCCCAAGTATCTGGTCCTCAACTCTAATCTATATGATCTTGTGCTTTGGTGGCTCTTGAAGCATTCTACTCGGTAGGAATGGCTGCACAGACCTGTCGGTCTATGACGGGAAGGTACGAGACGTAGCAAAGCCAAAATATCCACCCGAAGACAACTGGTTCCAAAGCCATGTGCTGAAAGGTGATTGGGCCGATGGAAGAGCTCGATGCCGACGAGATCGCGGCGATATTCCACCAGGACATCAAGTTCGAGCTGGTGAACAGACATGAGGCGGTTCATGTGAAGGGAGTCAAGACGATCGCGCTCCACTTCCAGAGCATCCTCGGGCAGTCTCGCGCTGCTATGGTCTTTCATAATACCTGGGTACTTTGGCAATACAACTCCGAACTTCGAGGCACATTTCTTTCTAGGTGGATATGTGGACAGCGAGACACAAACTGGAGTCTGTCCAGATGTGATTGTATTGTAAGAGTAGAAGACAACAAAAATACTGGATAAATAGCGTAATGATTGCCATGCCGTATTTTCAGAGTGATGGTTCTGGATGTCCTTAAAACTTTGAGCAGAAGCAAGTTTTGTGCTCATGGGTTAGGTGAAAAAACAACCTGCTGGCTCTTATCCAACTTGACAGCAAGATATAGCATGGGAAAAAGAAGGACGAAGGGACGTTAGCCATACACCTCGCTTAATTTAACAAGGGCCGATTCTTGGATGGGCGACTCTGGTTAGTTCTGCGCAGGGCCAGTTGCTGGGCTCTCTAGTTTTCCGCATCCTCTACCACCTTGATTTCTTTACCTCAAAAAATATTTCTCCAGCTCGATCTATATGTCTTAATCTTGTTCTTATTGGCTCCTGCTTCGCCATGGTGCTATCGATCGACTCTCGCGCCCCGATTTTAGGTGAACGGAAACGGTGGTTTCGTTTTGTGAAGCCCGATGAATATTCATGGAGTCGAGGTGGAACCCAATAGGTCTCTTTTGAGTGCTCCATACTGACTCATTTTTCTCAAGCCGTGGTCTTACCTTTGAGGGCGGCCTCGCGCGGGTCTTGATGAGCCGATGATTCTCAAATCAGTACGCACAAGCGAGGTGCGACGTCACGCTATCACCGGGTGCTTCTTAAAGATGCATTTTCATGTATCGTAGCTCATTAGGTATCTCGACATGATCAATCCTCAGGCTCAGCTTTGATGGCCACCTCCGTCTCCACACCATCTTCATCGAGCCTCCCAACTACAACATGAGCCCTCTTATTACGACCCGCGCCAGGCTCAGTAATTTCAACAGTCCTGCCTTTTGGAAGAACAGGCTTCGCAAGCACGACAGTCTCGATGCCAGCCGGGCCCAACTCCTCGGGTCCTGCTCAGCTATTAGTACAGTCGCAGAACATACCATGATGGCGAGTCTTACCCATGGGAAGTGCATCGATATCAATCTCCATATTGAGCAAACTCTTCAAAATGACCTCGCTGCCCGCCTTACTCATGACCTCGTTTGCATGCTTGCACTGCTCACTCGTTACACACTCCTGACACCCCTCGTAGCAATGACACGCCTCAACCCTCCTCACTGCTTGCTTCAGCAGTAAGTCAATGAACTCGAAGGCTTTGGTACTGATTCCTGATCCGCCTGCTCCACCTTTCGCGTCATAAAAGGTCAGGCGGGCGGGTCGTTTGCGAGATGTTTCCTTCTGTGCAAATTCTTTCTGTGGAACTTTGCATTCGGTGCGCACGTCGCCGGGCATGCTGACCACGAAGTTGGGCATGAGACTGAGGATTGCATGTTCGGCGGCGTGGATGGCTCCTGCCACGTTGAGACGGCGCCCGACTAGTATTTCGAGAGCTTGCTTTGGGACATCTAGCCACATGCCCTTGCTGAATATGACGACGGGTGGATTGTCTACTTGTACCGCATCGAGAATTCGCCGGCGTTTGTCAATCTTGAAGAAGCCAAAGACTGTCTGTTGGATCTTGATTTGTCCGTAGAAAGCGCGTGAGAGGGACTTGGGTATCCGGCGAATGGCTTCAGTCTCGATTGGATCGATGTCTGTGAAGTCACGTTGCTGAGTGGTCCAGTCTACCTTGACGAGCTCCACCTTGGCAATTTTTCGCTCTGGATTAAATTCCTTTACCAGATATGTGTTTCCCTGATGCAAGAATATGCCGCCATCGTATAGAGTAAAGAACGCTCGAGACGCTTCAAGCTCTTCAAGCACAACATTCTGGCCGTGAGTGATGTTTATGATCGCGAAATGGTCTTCTTCTGTGTCTCGGATCGAGACGTACTTGGATGGTAAAGGGCGAAATCGATCATGGCAGTGGTAGAAACCAAGCTCATCTTTGATCATTCGTTCTTCTGCCAGTTCTGGGAGCATCTTCCCGAAGTATGCAGAATCTTCATTTGGACGAATCGGCATTTCGTAGGCAGCGCACTGGACATGGCCTTCCAGTACTAAAAGATTCTGCAAGTCAACCTGCAGTTCACAATTTGGCTTTGTAAAGATCTCGTCCGGGTTTTGCATATAGAACTGGTCCGTAGGGAAACAGTCTCCGATCAAGACAGATAAAGAGTCCTTGTTTCGACGCCCAGCTCTACCACTCTGTTGTCGGAGGTTTGAGATCGAGTATGGAAACCCTACTGTAATGACTGCATCGAGTGATCCGATGTCGACTCCCAGCTCTAGGGCAGTAGTAGCGACGATCCCCATCAATTTCCCCTCAAACATCTCGCTCTCAATCCGACGTCTATCTTGAGGCGTGTAGCCGCCTCGATATCCCATTACTCGAGCCATACATTCCGATCGTTCGAGATTGGCAAGCTCTTGCTTCACAGCCCCCACCAAAACCTCGCAGCCCTTTCGTATCCTACAGAATGCGATAACCCGCACACCACGTAATATCAGCTGGCAGAACAGTCTTGCCGCCTCAGCCATGGTATCTCCTCGACCACTTGCCGGATCTCCAGGATCTTTAAATGGTGTATTCCAGCACAGGAACTCTTTGCGTCCAGATGGCGACCCATCGAAATCCGTCAATTTCACATCTTCGATTCCGAAGATGGTCTTGAAGTGCTCCATGGGGTTCGCAACTGTAGCAGAACACGAAATGAACTTGATATGACGGTTTCCTACCGCCGCACAAATCCTCCTCAGTCGGCGCATGATCAATGCAACGTGCGAGCCGAAGAGTCCGTTATAGACATGAATCTCGTCGACTACAACATACTTGAGGTTCTGTAGGAAAGTCCGCCATTTCTCCTCTTGCGGGAGGATGGTAATGTGAAGCATATCGGGATTGGTGATGATAATTCTACCCTCCTCTCGAATTAGATTTCGATCACTCATAGGAGTGTCGCCGTCAAATGTCTCCACGATGGTTTGTTCGAGACCGGTCATGAACCTCATCATCTCCTTAAGACTTCTCCGTTGGTCTTGGGCCAATGCTTTGGTGGGGAATATGTACATGGCTCTGGTATTATGATCTTTTTCGAGTTCATGTAGGACCGGAAGCTGGTAGATCAACGACTTTCCAGAGCTCGTTGAAGTGGAAACGACGACATGGTGACCATCATGTAGATTGTTGATAGCCTCAGCTTGGTGAGCATATAGCTGTGTGATGTTCTTGGTATTGTACAAGGCATTCACAAGATCTTGACTGAGCTGGAAATTGAGGTCACCATAGATAGCTTCTTGCGGATCAAAGACTCGATGACCGTCTGGAACAATCTGCTGGGTATACCACTCGCTTTCCCTGATTTCGCTAACAATCTCCGAAATCATCTTTCTCTCTGTTGGGATAGTTTTGGGCAGAAGACTGGCGTCAGGCTTCGGTGACGTAATCCGTGAGTAGGAAGGCTCTGGAATGTACAGTTTGGCCTCCGAACATAATGTATCCTCGGGGTCTATGTTCTCAGCCTCACAGCGGTTCAGGAAGGCATTGATAGCACTTGTAAACTTGCGGTTTCGCTTCTCAATCAAAGTCATCATCTGCTTCTGACTGAACACTGGCATCTTCAGGTCCTCGTCCCGTAGCTTTCTCGTAGCCTTAGTAGCTTCCCCCGTCTTCTTATCCTTGACCTGACGCTTCAGATCGCCATCCAGAAACTCGAAGAAAAGAACTTCTTTGCCATCTCCTGTTACATTTCCACCATATCCCAGTCCTTCGGCGCCAGTGATGCCTCCCACAGAGGCATCTGGAGCCGGGCCAGCTGCGTGCCATGTTTTAGCTCTGCCTCCCTTGAATGTGTCGTCTCTCTCGGAGCCCCTCACATCGACCTGCAGCATCGCCTCATCCACATAGGAGAAGTTCATCCCACCAGGACGCAGAGCCACGATCCGCGCAACATCCTCAATGCTCAGCTCCCGCTTTGTATGTCCCTCCACAGCCGATTTAATATTGTCGAAAGTTGTAGCAAGGTGTTTGCGCGTAGAGCAGAACGTGAAGACGAGGTTCAGCGCGCGATGAGTCTTTTCGAGCGACTGGAAGGAGGCAGGCCATGGGACAGCACTGTTAACAGGGGTTGATAGCGTAGAGGCGTTCCGCGATAGTTTAGGGGGCGGTTTTGGCTTGGGAAGTCGTTGTGGCTTCGTGCCACCATCGTGGGCTTTTGTAGCAACCGTTGATGTGGTCGAGACGGCTTCAGAGCCAGCTTCGGACGGAGCTGGAGATTCCTCTTCTGATTCCTCGACTTGTTTTCGCTTGCGTTTTCTAATTATCTGGTTAGATACAGTGGCAGCCTGTAGTTTTGCCATGGCGAAGGTTTACTTGAGTCAGGACGTCGCTCATGTTTTTGAACGAGACGCGACGGGATTTGGCCACACGAGAGCACGTGCATCTCACATGGAATGTTAAAATAGGGAGAGAGCACATCAGAGGTCATGCGTTTAGTGTAATTTTACCCATAGTATTCTATAGATAGCTGAGAGCGTGCTGAATGCACAACAATCCACGTTCCATCAAATCCGTCACCCGCATCACCCTTCCCAACCGCGCTTATGCTGCCTTTGATATGCCAAACTCCTACAAAGTTCAAAAGTAATAGAAAGTCATCCCCCCCACGCCCAAAGAAAGCCTTCACAAGTTGGTGTATCTCTAGAACGAAAGAAAACAAAATTGTGGGTATGTTTTGAGGTATTTGATCAGCGGCGGCCTTCCCCCGAGCGTAAGTATTCATAATGCATGTTGGACAGATGCCAACTCGGTTCTGAATATTCTGGCATTTGCTTCAGACATCTAGAATTGGTTAGCCAATGTTCACTGCAAGAAGAGGGAATGCTTGCTCTCAAAAGCATATTGATGGGCGTCGGCTCCTTGTCACCCTCGAATGCAGTAAATATGATCTGGGCGGCGCTGGTCGATGGCTTGTCCTTGAACTCCATAGCTCGGACAATGACGGTGTTGAGAACAACTCGGTGGGTGTTCTCTTGACGCATGATGAGACGAGCAACTCGAGGGCCCGTTGCTCCTTCGTCATCATCCTCCAGGCCAGATGCATCGAATGAGCCGGGTATCGGTACACCGTTGTCATCGAAGCTGACACAAGACTTTGGCACATTGATCTTGAGCGTACCGACTCCACGTTCCTTCCAGCCAACCTCCTTTGACTCTATTGCGAAGAGCTTCGCTCGCACTTGGAGCAATGTAGCCTCACCAGCTTCTCCATCATCAACTGGTAGATATGTTACTTTCTCGTTCCACACGTTGCGCCTCTTCAAAGTCTTACCTTTACTGGGCTTTCCCTTCTTCTTCTCTTCGTGGACAGCAGGTGCACTCTCTTCGTCATCTGTAACAGCGCCTCCATCACTATCATCCACATCGGCTCCATCGTCTTCATCACTGTCTGGTGCTCCAAAGGCTCTGGCTGGCTTACTCGACAATGATTCGTCGTCTTTCCCAGGGGGTGCAGCGAAACTCGACAGCTTGGCCCCCGATCCACCTCCAAATCCATTGCCTGAGTTAGCGCCGAAAACACTGCCACTTGCAAGGCCCGCAAATCCAGAGCTTACTCCGCCGCCAAAGCCAAACCCCGAAGCTGGTTTGTCTCCAGAAGCAAGTCCAAATCCGCTTGTAGTTGAGGCTGAGCTCGCAAGCTTTGTCCCGGATAATGCGCCGAAGCCAGATGTTGCAGGTTGTGTGCCACTACTGAATATGCTGGGTTTTGCGGCACCGATGCTTCCAAAGGGGGAGCTTGAGGAGGCTGCAAGAGACGCGAAGCCAGAACTAGCAAACGCAGAGGCAGATGTTTTGGGGGCAGGGATTTCTTTCGTTGGGGACTTCGCGGTCTCCTCGTCGGTCACTTTAAGGTCAGCTGAAACTTTCTCGGGCTGTAAAACAGGATTAGCCTATGATTTCTTGATGATAACAGAGCTATGGCCTACAGCAGCTTCTGTCGATTTCTCCGCAGACTTTGATAGCTCCTCCGATGTATCCCGAGGCCTCTTCTTCTCTGGCCCTGACCTTGTCATTCGGTTTCCATTTGCGACGCTGCCATCAGCCGAAGATCCTGGCTCGTCAACATCGTCCCCCGAATCCTGCGCATCCTCGTCCGCGTCTCGTCCTCTCTTCTTCTTCGGGGAAGATAAACGTTCCCTCAGGTCCTCGTCTTGAGAGTCTGCGTGCTCGGCCTCGGCCTCTAGCTCCGGCGTGCTCACCTTTGCGTTCTCCTGCATGACCTTGTCTTCAGCTGCAGGCACGTCTGCAGGATCATGGACTCGAGGAGCCGCCGCCTTGTCAGAAATGGTGGTGTGCTTCAACTCCTCACTGGCGGCCATTGTTGCTGGGTCCTCCTTGTGTGAAGATGTTTGCTCGTGCCGCTTATCTCCAGCCATGACGATTGTCCGCGCTGGCAAGTCGGGATTGGGTTCGGGTTGGCAATTTAGAATGGTGTTTTGTTCAAAGATCGTGGGAACAATTACAGGTTCTTCTGGCGCGGACATAGCGGTGTAGCTCCGATCAACATCAAAAAGGATTTGTTGGTGGTGTTGATCAGTATTGCTTGGAGAGGAGTTGCGTTGAGTGCGTTGTCCTGCCCCTCTTCTTCTAGCTCAAAGAACGCGATTGTGCAAATGTCTCGAGGCTTTGCGCTAAGCTAAGGCTTACCTAGTCGACAGGGGTATGGGTTGGGCTATCAGTTAGTAAGGCCAGCCGACGACGACGACAACAATAACTTGAACTTCCTTCACCTTTACACCCATATTATTCCCTTGGAGCGTCGGAGTAAGCTCTACCATACTTTATCAATCATATTCCTTACCTTTCTTCATTCTTGCATGATGTTGTTATCTTCTCCATTTTCCTCACCTTCAACTTTGCAAGCCTCTTGGATTGGAGTATTTGCTACCAGTTTACAAGAGACAAATTCCCCAGCTGAGATTACCCGTGGGATGGAATGGAAATAGTACCCTCACACGGGAGACAGAGGATCTGAGTGGCCTGAATGGAAAATTGGAACAAACGCGAGCCGTTTCGGCGTGATCATGGCATCGCCACCAAATTCACAGCCCTTTTGTTCTATATTTACTTCGTACATGGCTTTTAGTTCCGGACATAAACACGACTTTTGCCCTGCTGCCAACTTGTTCCTCTGCCTCGCTGTGCGACTATGTGCACCTAGCAATGTTATGCCAAATTCTCTTTTTCTCGCTTATCTTTTGATATAGCTCGGATCCAAATAGCCACCTTTTCTTGAAGCGAGACGTCGAACTCTAACTTGGGCCTCGGAAGACATCTCATCTCACCCGGGTTGTTAACATGGGAAAGGGGCCCCTGCGATCCGATGTTCTTGGTCGCCACTGCTCGATTGCCGAGTTCAGAGAAAGTGCTACTAATGCATGCTTCTGTGCCAGTCGGGTGTGGCGGTGAAGTCAATTATGTTGGCTATTCGGCTGAGCCTGACCCCGTACATACCTTGAACGCCATTCCTCGCGTCGTGCTTAGGACGCAAATACATAGTCAACATCGTCTATCTACAATGTCATCGTCTCAATGCTCCTACAAACCAACGGATCCTTTACTATCCAAAACTTCCGACTCCTTCAAAAGATCTCAACAACAACCACCACGCTTTTCGAGCATCGGCTGCCTTTCGCATACTACACACCCATCAGCTAAATTACTAATAACCGCTTTCAATACCCCCTTCCTGCTTATCCGTCCCTTCCCCAATCCTGCCTTTTTCATTCACAGCATTCCCGGCGCTTCCCAAACACCTTTACATCCTCCAGGACCTGTCGTCCCGGGTGAAACCAGTTGTTCAGGATAATTCAAAGAACCGAAATTTCTACATGGACCTGGGCTTTCCCGCAGCTCTTCTGGGAAAACGAACTTGAGTATCCTTACCTGGTGACTCTTTTCAGGATGGGAAGCCGCGCTGACGAGGTGAGCTAAGGGTAGAGTACATAACCTTACTATCATTTCAAAAAAGTTACACTTTGGTCATCCCGGCTTCTACGTAAAAACTATTTCGCAAGTTCCCTGGCACTCAAATTGGATTTTCTCGGACTGCGGCATAGAAGTTTGAACTCCAGTCCCGCCACGCCACCCCTCATCGCTCGGCCATCACCAAACCTTATTAAGGCTTATTTACGAAGCTTCCTTTAACGTTCCTCGAGCTCCAGGCCCTCTCCTGCATCCATCGACTCACAAGCATCGATTGGAAATCTCTCCCAGGGGAATCCAGTACCGGCCCGCTACAGCCAAGTGAATACGCAATACCATCTTGGAAGAGCCCTTTTCACACTTCCTCTTGCGGTAGGTCATGTATTCCCGGTCCTCTGTCTACGACGTGGATTAGAGATATATTCTGGTTGTAGCTCGATGATCTTGCCTCTGATATTGCAATATCGAAAAGCCGTAAAAGTACAAGGCGCTGAACTAGTATAACTCACCGGAGCTCGTGCGAGATAACTTGCCAAGTGAGGTAGAAATAATGCAGCAACCTCCCCCCCCTCATTGTCAAAGCTCCGCGATAGAGCTACGTATTACTGCTGTTGTAAGTACCACCAAATCATTTTTGATATCCGGCGCCCGCATCCCGATGAACAGTAGGTCGTTATTTCAGAATCAGCGCTACTAGCTTGAGGAAATCGGTGAATACATCTCCCACGAGAAATCCCCCGGAAGTCATAAATTTGTTGGGGAAAGAAATCCGTAAAAGTGCTGCAGGACGTTCTAATACTCTCCCTGTACTGGAGCCTCCTCTCCCTAGCAACACACAGGATAAACTTGGATATCCGCTCATAAACACCCGCGCGCTCCCTCATGAGATGGAGTATGTATAATACTCAGTATTGTAGTGCAGCAACCAGTAAGCATCATCGCATCAGGAACCGAACGAAGACATCGACATAGCTACGGTAGTCCTCGCGTCCATATATACGCGTCGACGACGTAGTACACAGCTCCTTTCTCAACCCACGGCGTCCTCAAAGCTCTCTCTTAACCTTGACAAGATAGGTCGTTGATTTTGCGGAGTTTGGAACGGGCCGCCTCCTGTTCTGATTCGGTTTGACAAAAGGTAGATATTTAATCTCGCTGATGATCTGATTCCAACAACAGATATGTAAGGCCCGAGAGCCTATGATGGATAGGTAGCTTACTTCGTCACATCTATTATAAGAAGTAATCAGAGCAGTTTTCCTCCTTTATCCTTCTTCTCTTCTTCTTGCGAGAGGTAGAAAGAGGCTTGCCGTAAACCCATTTTCACCTCTCAATTTCCAATCTTTCTTTCCTTTTATTTTTGGGGAAGGGGGTGTGACAATCCAGCCCATAACCCTCTCTCGCCTAAAAAATTTCAGATGGTCTATATAATTCACAATTCCGCGACTCGTAGCAAGTATCCCAGGCAGCGTGGATGGCATAGACGTTGTCATCTTCAGGTCAAGCTTGGGTGTACTCGGAGGGGAACTTCTAACGTGTAACGATTTGGGGCCGAGTGGTTTAGAATCACCAAACCACACAACGACAAGAACGCATACATATTACGAATATCATACGGATCAAAATGAAAACCTGCTACGAAGGCTTTTCTTCTCCCACCGCGAGGTGGGAGTTTGTTTTGCCTTTTTTATTTTTCCCATTCCAGCGCGCAAGCTCTCCCTTCTTTTTTCTCATCCTGGGAATTGATTCGGGGGTTCCAGCCTCCAAAATACCTTACAGCGATCAAACTGCTTACACGTCTGTCTCTATGATTGTTGCTTACGATCGATAATACTGTAACATTTGAAGCGGTGATCTTGGCCGCTTACAACAAGGGCCAGTCTCGAGTGATGATTCATTGCGTCAATTTCTAACAATAGTGTACATGCTTTCCCGGAACGCCGCGATGAACGCCTTGGTATCATACGTTTTCTTCCTCGCAATCAAGCCGGTCGGCTCCTGCTTCGGTCTCTGCGTACGGCTCTGCCCTGTACTGCCGAATTGCGCCTATCATACATAGTCAAACAACACGACCTATGAGTCTATGGTCCTCTTACTAGATTGCAAATGCCCCAGCCCATGAGTCTTCGCATCCCGAAGCTGATCCTCTGGTACCCCATCAGGTAGAGACGATGTAGCAGTAGTTGCTGCTTTCCCAGCTGAAGGATCTGTAGGCGGCGGAGCAGTTACCGCTTCACAGCTGTGGGTGTTAGTCTTTTATACGGTGGGAATAAGAGGCCGCTACGGATATAGTGTAGATAAATAAAGCCAAATCTTACGCGCTGAGCCCCTGGCTCGCTGTCTGATTCGTGGTTTGATTCGACGTTGTCTTCGATGCTGTGTCAAGGCCCCGGTTGACCTGAGAAACAGTCGGCTCTGAGCCATTTGCTTGTGCCTGTGGAAGGCTCTTCACATCAATATCGTCTGCACCGATATTCTCCTCTCCTTCTTGACTACTACGCTTGACACCCTCTTCGGAATCATTGTCGTCATTAGGAGTACCGCTCTTCATGCTACTGGCTTTGCTAACTTCCACGCTCCTTGGACTTTCGGTTCTCAACCCGAGATCCTTCCCCAAGTCGGGCGAAGTATCATTTCCCCCTTTCCAGTTGGCAGGCGCCACCTGAGGAACAGGAGAACCAAGGCCGGGCTCGGTAACGACATCTTCTTTTTTGCCCTCGCTGGGTGACGGATCATACGCCTTCCATACCACAGTCATCTTATCAAAAGCCCTAGCGCCTTTCCGGCTTGAGCCTTTAATACCATCCATCTTGTCCCACTCGATTTCGAAGACGCCGTTTTCGTCTGGCTTGCCGCCTTGCTCGGGGCCGTTGCCTTCGAAATAGCAATTGAACCATACATGCGCTACGGCTGTGACCATTGTCCAGCCCATGGACGCCTTGTTCCGACGCTCAAAGGCGATGTTAACGTCGCTCGAGGGGAGGACGACTCGTGTTGAGGGCTTGAAGATTACGGCTGAGCCACCAGACTCGGTCCCTGTGATTTCGGCTGTTGTAGGGCCAGACTCGGTCCCGATGATTTCGGTTGTTGTAGAGCCTGAGCTGGAGGTTCCTGCTGCCTGGGGAGTCGTAGGGATTTTGCTTATTGATGTGTGGGCCGAGTTCGTCTCGGCTACTTTTCCCTCATTTTGGAGCCCGGCCATATCTGAAATCTTGTCCCTGATGCCTCCTCCACCAGGGGTGTTGCCTTCGACTATGACCCTCTCCTTTTTCGTGAAGACGTGAAATAGCTTAATGGTCTTTCCTTCGTCAACAAAGCCTTCCACTTGTACCTTGACTCCATCCCGCAGTCCCCAAACGTGTACCTCCATAATCTCGATTTGTCTCTCGACATAGATCTTCTTGGAGTTCGTCCACCGGTCCACGTAAGCCACCCATCTCAACTGACTGGGAATACTGACGCCCTGGCCGAATCCAGGTCTCATTCTCCGTTCCGTGAATCGTGCCAGAGCTTCATCTGGTTTCCACCCACACTCCGAGATCAAATAGCTGCACGCCATCGTTCCACTCCGTCCTTTCCCTGCTTTGCAATGCACAACAACCACTCTCTTCTTTTTCTCTCCCTTCTTCGCGTCCTTCACCTCTGCTCTGTCTTCTGCCTGGGCCTCATCCCCATCAGTCTCGTGCAACCAATTTCTCATGCCCGCCATAATCATCGGTACCAGCCTGAACGGCGGAGGGTGGTGATCTGGCCATGGATAATGCCACACTCGTCCGTAGACTTCTGAATCCGGGTAACCCGTTCCCTCAGCCCTAAACTCCCAGATCGCCCAATCTTCCCCATGCTTATAGTCCAGAAACTTGACGAGCTGGTCGAGAGGATTGCGATAAGCGCGCTGGGGGTAGGTACCGCTAGGGCCTGATGTCGCGATGATCTGGTCAGTAACGTAGCACAGGTCGAGTCCTGCCTCTGGATGGCGAGAGCGAGGGCCGGCGACCAGTTGACGGAGGAGAGAAGCCATTGTAAAGTCGCGTATGGCTGTACTATTGTTGTTTGTACCGGAGATAAGAAGCGTTGCTGAAGTACATTGTTGTACTACTGTATGGTTGTTGTTGTTGTTGTTTGGTTTTACGCCCGGCCTGGTGCGGGCGGTAAGTAACTGTAAGTAGGTAGAAGCTGCCAGACGTCATTGGTGATCCCTGAATCCTTGCTTTTGGCAGGGTGCGCACCGCCGCATCCAGTCCAGCCCGTGATTGATAGCCCTTTCAGAGGTGCTCTTTTAGCTCTGTGGCATACTCAAAGTCAAGACTAACTGTGTCGACGTCGCATTATACCACTTTTATAGGAGATGCTCAAAGCTGATGAATATAATTCCCCCTTCTATCAAAGCCTGCACGCTTCAATATTTCGTACTACCTTCTTCTAGCTCGTTTCCAAGTCAAGACTGGGATACTCGCCTTTGAAAGCCAGTACTTCATCGGCATAGAACTCGATTTCCTTCTAGTTATACTCGGGATACTACTGCTGAAGGTCGGGTTAGAATAAGATGAGACATATCTTGCACATATATACCACGGGACGGAGAAGGCACTTGTTATTTTTTTCAATGTTGACATTCTCGATTCTAATTGCCTGTAAGCGAGGCCCCCCTTTCCAAGTCTAAATGTACTGGTCTCATTTCACCCTATTTACTGATTTAGTTGTGGCAGTACGGAGGGCTTCGGACCAAAGCTACTGTCCCATCTGTGTATACAGAATGCGGTGCAGGTCATTTGTTATCTCGCCACCCAGTCGTCAGTGCATGCCTGTACTCTTACCGGTCCTGCAGGCATGGCCTCAAGTAACCTTACTCAAATATCTTGCGGAGAGTCAGCCATATTTGGGCATGAATGGTACGGCAGAGAAGTATTGATGGTAATGTCTAACCCAGAAGGCTTTTCTGCGTGTGTATCAGCCACCTTGGTTACAGTCCAGGAAACCAGTGTTCTTTAGTGACCATTAATGGAAAGATCAAGTCTTTGGTAGTCAAAGAAATAATATTTACAGACGCGCAAAAGCAGAAGGACGCCATGAACTTACACAGCAATCTGTGGTGGAATGAGGAGCTACTGAGGTTCATTCGTACGGTTCAACAGTAATTCATCGCAGGATAGCTCCTGATCTGCATTATTGGGTACATGATAATCTCAACAATAGAAGTTCCCTGCCCTGGCAATGCCCACGTTGAAGATTAGCTAGCTACCAGTAGCTAGCTAGCTTTGCTTGCCCCGCTCTGAACCCCGCCATCCCACCTCGTGCCATCTCCAAGACATCAACACCATCTCAACTCCTTCTCAACCCTCTCGCCACACTACATCTCCAAAACTCACCTATATCAAGTAAGCTGTACCCACCTCTTCCTCTATCCAAATTACCCATCTCCAAACATCCCAGAGAAACTGACAACCAAACGCACCCCTTCCAGAATTCCCTCTCAACTCAACTCAACTAAAATCCCCCATCAACAAAACAACCATCATCATGTCCGCCTTCGAGACCGCCGTCGCCGACTCCAAGAAGTTGACATCCAAGCCCTCCAACGACGATCTCCTACAACTCTACGGTTCGTGCCACCATGCCCTGACGTCCCTCCTTTTACATTAGATGTGATAGGATGGAATAGACGCTGACGGTACTTGTTGTTTAGGCTTGTACAAAGTCGCCAGCGGGGAGGACATCACCAAGTCGGAACAGCCGGGAACATTTGATCTCAAGGTAAGCCCCACCATACGTACACATAGCATCTACAGCCCCCTTCTCGTGGCACAGAGATATCTATCTCTACGTGGTATTCTTGATCACAGAACATGGATGGTGCTGATGAGATCCGCTCCGTGAACAGGGCAAGGCCAAGAAGCGTGCGTGGCAGAAGATTGTCGATGAGGGCATCACTAGCGACCAGGCGAAGGAGAAGTACGTTGAGCTCGTCGAGTCGCTAAAGGAGAAGTACGGTTACGATGCTAACAAGGCGCCTGAGGCTGTGGGCGCTTAGAGGGTAAATGGGCATGCGTTGATAATGTACATGATCGATGCTTTATGCTGAACTGATCGTGGGTGTTGCATCAAAGGAGGGCGGATGATACCTATATTACCTATGCTGGTAACCTACAGATCATACAAAGTTTGTTTATGGATGGCTGTATTTGCTTGCGCTGGTGTTTATCATCATGATATGAGGTGAATTCATTATGCAGCGTGTCTGTGCTAATGCATATTATAAGATTCCGCGTCCCTTTGGCCAAAAAATCTTCTACGGGCCACCCAGAAAAAGAGAACACTGCTTTTTGATTGTCACGGTACCTCACTTAAGCCTGCCACACTTGGCCCTTCCAATCCGGCTCTTCGTACGAGGAGGTAGCACACCAAGGCAGATCATCCTTCCCGTATGGAACAAGAGGAAGATCGTAAGGCATCCTAGCACCCACCAACTCAGTTCCTGGTTTTGCAGCACTCGCATCCGGATTATCAGTCTTGAAGGTTGGAACCATAGTAGCATTATCTCCGAAGAGTCCTGGCCACACTAACACACCAATCTCGTAGGAGCATATCCGGACATCACCTGCTGCATTGGTACCTTCGCCCCACGCCTGCTTGGACAAGTTTGCTGAGGTGACTAGCATCCACTACCGGAATATTAGTAATGACCTGTCGCTGCACTTACAACAGCGAAAGGTTGTAGACTGGTCCGTGAAGAAGCAGATTTTAGAGGCTACTCACATCGATGGTAGACCGGGTAGCATCGGGGAACCGAATGAACGTTTTGATATGAGGAGCAGCTCGTTTCCTACCAGCATCAGATACCGGTGCAGAACTCGGACCCTTCTCATCACTATCCCCAGCCCAGTGACATAACATTGGCTTGAGCAGCTGGAGCTGTCTAGCCTGAGCGTGTGACTGAATCTTGGTATGTATAGCACTGCCTGAGTTGTATCCGTTCAGGCTTCTCCGTATCTCGTCCGCTGTCGGAAATACGATCTTGAACTTCGACTTCGAGCTGCCGTGGCTCTTGGACGTGCTCATAGCTGCGAATAGGGTCTTGTCTATCCACTTCTCGCTGAGGGTAGCAATCGAGGATATTTGAATGACAATCTCTCCCTCTTTACTTCTCACTGGCACGGCCTCCAGAGCTTTCTTCAGCCCAGCCCAGCCCCATAGCGTCTTCGAGTCACTTTTTATGCTCTGTTTTCCAGGCACGCTGGCAACTAGAGCGCCTCGAATAGCCGAGAAGTTGTGTTTCATAAGCTTCCCGACGAGTGGCTTACAGATCACACGCTTGGTGTCATAGGCTCTCAAGTAGTTTAGAAAGTCAAATTTGAACCTAGAGCCGCTACCAATAGGCTCTGTGTCCTCAAGTAACTCCTTCTCGCGTATTTGAGGCAATAGCGGTGAGATCCATGCAGCTTGGGTCATGTTATCCCAATCGAAAGCTTGCATGTTGGCAGTGTGGATGACAATTTGAGCGGTGTCATATTTTCGTAGCAGCACAAGCATCTGATATTCTCAGTACGCAGTCTCAACGAATAGCTTTAGTACGCTACCTTTGAGTGATGCGTCCCAAACATCTCCGGCATGTATGCTGTATGAAGTGTGATATTAGGGTACTTCTTAGCCTGGGCCTAAGAACAATATCAACAGGAGAGCTAGAACGGGGAGATACGGTTTGACATACCTGCAAGTTGAGTCGTGACGCATCCTCGCTTTTCCAGAATCCATGAACCACATGAACCTTAGTACGATCTCGAACATCATCATGAAACGCTTCCATCAGAAATTCGAGATCGTGGAGATAGTTGAATTCCCAGCATTCAGTGATAGTCGGGTCGCCAAGGATATTCTTGAGAGAGACTGCATCTTTATTAACAGCTTCAGGGAGGTCCTTGATACAGGTAAGTTGGAAAGGCGATTTCAAGACTTTGGCAACTTGAACTTCTGGTTCTCGGTCTCGTCGAAGAGGAGGAGGAGAGATCGACCTGGTGATACTGTAGGGTAAGTTCTTCTTGTTATTCTGATCAGTGTCATCCTCGCTCTGAGTTTCTTCATCGTCGCTGCTCAATTTACGCCTCTTGCGCGACCGGTCTTCATCAAACGAGCCATGCATTGTCTGCGTAGCCTATGACCTTCAGGCTATTCAAGTTCTGGGAAATATCAAGCTCCTGGTTTCCAATACCAGGAATCTTGGTGTTGATCGGATATTTGTTGTTGCAGGGCCGGAACTAGATCTTGCTGACAGAGCAGAATGCGAAACGACGCTAGTTGCCGAAGCTTACTCCGTATTCGGATACTAGGCGATAAAGGATTAGATCTTCCATAAGACAATCCATTCGTTATACCATCAGGCCGACGATCACTCGACGACGACGACGACGACGACGACGACGACGACGACGACAATACATTCCTTAGACTTCGACGCCATTATCCCTCTTTTTTTCGAAGCGCTTGCTGCGATTGCTGCCGTCAGACTGCCCGCCGGCAGTTCCGCTGCTCCACCTGCCCCGACTCAGACTCCGGAGAACACGACAATTCGCCCAACATGCGTGTCCTTCCAATTCTCTACAATCTTTTCGCATCTTCAGTAATCGCGCGTTCCTCAAGTCCCCCGGCGAAAGGAGATAAGGAAGCAAAAGAAGCTGCGGAGTGGGTTGAGCCAACGGCAGATCCGACAATATTCAACGGCGTAGAGGTACCGCCTTTGCTGGATATAGAAGGAGAGAAGTTCAATGAAACTGTTGCGGACGGCTGGTGGTTTGTGAAACATCACTCGTAGGTCCCCCTTGCGAATGCAAGATTCATTGCTCTCAGTAGTCAATTGTTGATTGTGATTTAGGCCGTACTGTCCTCACTGTCTCCATGTCAAGCCGACGTGGCAGACCTTGTATGAATATTACTTCACTTCAAAACCTGTGTCGGCTGGATCCTCTGCAGATACCTCTTCGTCCTCTCTCAACTCATTTACTGCCTACTACAACTACCATTTTGCAAATCTCGACTGTATTGCATTTGGAACAGCTTGCACGGATCACAAGGTCAAATCATTTCCAACATTCGTCCTCTTCCACGATGGAGTGGAAGTCACGCGGTGTGAGGGAACCAGGGATATCCAGGGTCTGAGCCAATATGTCGAGGACGCTCTGGAAAAAATCCGCCCAGGGTCTCGGCCAGTGGAAGGCCCCGACTTGCCAGCGACAGGAGATAAGAGTTCCAAGGATCACCAGGCCCCGGGGACCGGTAATGCGTCTGCTGCGACGAAACCTGCCCCTGCTGCCACGGAGGCAGCTGGTCCTACAGAAGTTTCTGTCCCTGAGAGTCGTGCAAAGCAGACGATATTGCCCGCATCTGAGAGCCATGTGGTTAAGGAGGCGGCCGAGACCCCCAGCTCGGTCGTCACGACGCCAAATCCGGTCGAACAGCCGCCCAAGAAGCCTTTGGCGCCAGCGAAGCCGACTTCTACCCCAAATACGCTCGGGAAATCTATTTCCTTCACAGCCGAAAGTTTCCAGAAACAAGTGACCATGACTCAAGATCCCTGGTTCATAAAATTCTACGCCCCATGGTGCCACCACTGCCAAGGGATGGCCCCATCTTGGGTACAACTCGCCAAAGAGATGCAGGGCAAATTAAATGTGGGAGAGGTCAACTGTGATATCGAGTCAAGACTCTGCAAGGACGTCCGGGTCCGTGGGTATCCTACGATCCTGTTTTTCCGAGGTGGAGAGCGTGTGGAATATGAAGGTCTCCGTGGCTTGGGCGATTTCGTTTCTTACGCCTCCAAAGCTATCGATGTCGGAGATGGAGTGAAGGATATTGATGCTTTGGAGTTCAAAGAACTAGAGGAGAAAGAAGAGGTCATTTTCCTCTATTTCTATGACCATGCCACTACATCCGAGGATTTCGCTGCTTTGGAGAGGCTCACAATGAGTTTGATCGGCCACGCAAAATTGGTGAAGACCAACAGTGCGACGTTGGCCGAGCGCTACAAGATAACAACTTGGCCGAGGCTCCTTGTCTCCCGAGACGGACGACCAACGTACTACACAGCTCTTTCCCCGAAAGACATGCGAGACTTTAGACAAGTCCTCAATTGGATGCAGTCTGTCTGGCTACCAATTGTTCCAGAGCTCACAGCTTCCAACTCCCAAGAGATCATGGATGGTAGGCTGGTAGTGTTAGGTATACTCTCTCGTGAGCGTTCTGATGAGTTTATAATGGCCAAGAAGGAAATCAAAAGCGCGGCGTTGGAATGGATGGACAAGCAGACCATTGCGTTCCAACGTGAGCGTCAAGAACTACGTGACGCCAAGCAATTAAGAATCGAGGAAGCCGAGGACCGCGACGACCAAAGAGCATTGAGAGCGGCAAAGAGCATCCGTATCAATATGGACGAGTCCGACCAGAAGGAGGTCGGCTTTGCCTGGGTGGACGGCGTTTTCTGGGAAAGGTGGATTCGAACCACCTATGGTATCGAAGTCGCCAAAGATGGCGAGAAAGTCATTATAAACGACGAAGACGTAGGTGCCTCCAAGTCCCTCTCCCTGTCTTGCTCAACTAACACGTTTCACAGCAACGAAGATACTGGGACACCACTTCCACCGGCAACTCTATCATGGCATCCCGCACGTCCATCCTCGAGACGTTACCCAAGGTCGTCTCCTCGCCCCCCAAGATCAAACCCAAGTCGACGATCTCCAAGTTCGAAAAGTTTTTCTTCGACATCCGAGGTGCCCTTTCAAGGCATCCCTTCCTATCCGTCTGCCTCTTCGTCGGCATCTTGGGCGGAGTGTGGTGGATGAAGGGCCGGACGCGGAGGAGCCGCGGGGGCTTCCTCCGACTAGATGAGAAGGAAGGGTTGTTGGGAGGACCTGCCGCGGTCGGGAAGGTGGACTGATTACGAGCGAACGCACGTGTGCACAGGGAATTGCTGATTTGTAGTATAGCGGGCGAGCTTTTGCGTCTCTTTTATTTTTTAAAATTGCTCCCATCGGGTGCGCGATGCGTCAGGCAACGTATCTGAATCCAGTGTTATCTATCTACTCCATCTACTGCGTCGTCGTGCCCCGGGTTTGTTTACCTCCGCATTCACATTTCCAGACCTACGGCAAGCAGGCACCGACGACATTCGCCGTGAACAACCATCGTCATTTTGATTCCGTGCTTTTGCTTCCACGGGGTCTGTCTAGGACTCCTTCCACCGCTGCGACACGGCCATCACGCCATGACTCCCAACCACGACGCACCACTCCCCACACGGACTCCACGCAACCTGCCGCCCGGCAAATGGCACGCCCCGGACGATATCCTCGCGGTGCCGCTGCAGCCCCCTCGCCGGCTCCCGCATGTCGTACTCCCGCGCCCACAGCTTCCGGCTCCGCACCCAGTCGAAACTGCCCTTGCCACTCGCGTGCCCGGTCCCGGTCCCGGTCCCCGTAGTACTGGACGGCTCGTCGCGGTCGCCCGTGAGGTCCGACGCGGTCTGGTAGCTGCTCGCCGACTCCGAGGGCGAGATGTTGCGCGCGACGCGGGTCATGAGGGCGCCGCGACGGCCGCGTCGTTGGGAGGGCCGGAGGAAGGGGTGAGCATGAGGGGATGCCGGGGTGGGCATCTGGTGGATCTGGGCTCGGGAGAGGGGGGCGGAGTTGAGGTTGGGGTGGGAGACGGTGCCGTCTTTGGAGGTGGGCAGGTAGGGCTCGTCGTCGAAGTAGCGCTCCAGCCTCGCCAGGTCCCAGTACATGATCTTGCTCTTCGTATTGCAGAAGGCCAGGATCGGGTGCGATTTGTCGAGCGGGGGGGAGCGGGCCGGGGAGGATGCGGATGCGGCTGGGGGCGAGGGAGGGGGGGGGAGGCCTGGGAAGAGCGAGAAGCGGGTGAAGAGGATGCAGGAGTCCGGAAGGGAGAAGTGCAGGTGCCGCGTGTAGAGGCTGAAGGCGTTGTTGGTACTGGAGGCCGGGAGCGGCGTGACGAAGGCGGAGCGGGTGTCGCGGTGCGGTTGGTGCAGGGTTGGGGCGGTGGTCGGTGGAGGGGGGGAGGAGGGGGGGAATTTGTTGATGGACCAGAGGACGAGGGTATTTTCGTTGGAGGCTTTGGAGAGGACGAGGTCGCCCCACCAGGCTACGCTTGGAGATGTTAGCTTCTGAGGTCTAGTGGGGAGCTGTGGAAGCGGCGAGGTGGTTGGGAGGAGACGAGACGAGAGGAGAGGAGAGGAGAGGAGAGGAGAGGAGAGGAGAGGAGAGGAGAGGAGAGGAGAGGAGAGATAAGGAGAGATGAGCGTACCAGTCGACACAGTCTGCGTGAACTTCGGCCGTTGAGAAGTGCGGGTAGAAGATCCGAGTGGGGATATTAGTCCCGGTGTTCGCATCCGGAAATTCCGGAAGTGTCCACTGTTCGTGCTTAGAGATAGGTATCAACGAGGTTCGAGATCGGCTATTCTTACGAGCATTATAATGTGATCCGCTGCCCCGGATAGCAGGTACCGACCTGAATCATGGAAAGACTACACCTTATCAGTCATCAAATGAGATGTCCATCACGAGGTGTCCACGAACCAGAGTCAAAATATTATCCTTGTGGCCGTCGCCTTCGAGTATGGCCGCACAAGGTTGACTCGCGTGCGCAGGATCCAGACTCCATACCCGCACCGTACAGTCTTCTGAACATGAGGCTAGAATGTAGGGATTGATGGGCGAAATCACCAGGTCGTTGATTTCCTTGGCTTGCTCAGTAATGTCACCGACGAACAAGACCTACCTACTCAGTTGGAGTTAGGAGAAGAAGTGGCTTACCCCTCCGTGACCCGCCAGGGTCTAGATTCTGCTTAGCAAAAAAAAAAAAAAAAAAAAAAGAAAAGAAAAAAAAGAAAAGAAACCCCCTCGACCCGTGGAACTCAGGGGATGTACGTTTACCTACTCTGAGTAGCTCTCCCGTCAACACATCGAAAATCTTGATGATGCCGGTATGGCCTGCGACACACAGTAGCGGAGCGCCCGTTTCGAGGTTCTTGGTCCAGGTGCATGCATAGTTGTTTGCATCGACCTACGTGTTCAAGTCAACACGGTCGATCAAATGCCGATGAGGGCAGTGTTGGACGGGAACTCACGTCGTCGTCCAGGATCATGCGCAGGACCTCCATCTGCGAATTTTCTTTTTCTTTTTCTTTTTCCTTTTCCTTTTCTTCCCCCGTCGGGGTTCGGCATATCAGAATCTGGCCAGAGTCAGGGCACGCCATGTCAGTACGTAAAGTACCGGTAAGTAATTGACTCCTCCCGTCGATGCCAACGCTTGCCTGCTGCAATGCACTGCGCTGCACCCACGGCAGGAGGGTAGATCCGGGAAGGGCTCACCCGGGTGCCGCCCACAACGGCGAAGACAGGGTCCAGGCCGGCTTCCGTGAAGGGGTAGAACTTGACGGACCAGAAGTCCTGACTTGCTGCAGACACACGGGGATTGGGCGTCAGCAAAAGATATCTCTCGTGGAGCGGGAAGGCCGATTGACTGATTGACTGATTGACTGATGGACGGACGGACTGACCTCTTTCCATTGCCTGTATGATGGATTATTCCATTTGTCCATTAGGAAGCGATCCGTCGGGTGACACAGCGACCGAGTCTGCTCTAC